AGGGCATACAGGTTCCTGCAGAGGGAATCAGTACCTAAAGGACTTAAATAGGATATTGCCTTCTTGCAAGAAATCAACAAGAACACTGGCTAAATCCTGTAAATATGCTGATGTATTGGCCTTGTTATGAAAAACTGAGACCAGCACTCATATCCCTATGGTTATCCTGGAGGAGAGACGATATATTCAGAGCAGTTGCTTGGGGAAACGCTCATCACACATTGCAGAGCTGCTGGAGGGCCCCAGGCGGTGATGTGGCTGGCAGTCCTCCGACAGTAACTTCATTCATTGTGATGGCTTCTGCTTTGGTACCAGCTGAACGTCTGACAGATTAATGCAAATAAAGGCATCGGGGCATTTATTAGCCCAACAACAACAATGGAGTAACTTGAGGCAAGATTCCCCAGCTGTTTACAACACGGGTTTTGCTGCCAGTCTCTGAGGGTGTGAAATAGCAGTGAAAGGACTCACTTTCAGCTGCAGCAGTAATTGTGGCAGAGGCTAAAATCTTTGAAGTGTTTCCTGTAAATTGAAAGCACAGCAATATTGGGTGACTGGGCATCAGTTAGTACTCTGCAAATAGCATTTTGTTGCAACCCGTGTTGCTGTTATTTACACACTTCTTATTTTTTATTTTGACTTGTAGCATTAGGTTTTGCTGTTGGCTGCATTACTTTATGCACATGTGAGACAGACAACAGTGATAGAAAATGATCCAAATATTTATTTAACCATTTGCAGTACTAGTACAGTGAAAGTATTTCATGAATTGTTAACAGACAAGATAAACTTTAATAATTCTGGAGCAGAAGGTAGCTGCTGCTGACCTACAGGGCTCTTTACCTGTATTTTTGTGGGGATTTGCTCTAAAAAAACTTTCCCACAATTGGTTTGACAACCTTTTCTGATTATATCCTTGCTGCTGTCTGAGGAAGGTTCACGTCTCTGAGGGCTTGAGTGAATCTGCCACCTGAAAATAGGCTTGACCTAGCATTACAGATGAAAGGGAAGTATGAGAAAAAGGCCAAGAGGGTGGTAAAACCGCAGCAGAAACTGTCTTCACTAGCTGCTTGTGGGATCTTGCCAGCCCTGGGTCATCCTGCAGAGGCATTCACTTACACCTTGGCTCCTTGGGATTGTAGGGTAGAAATCTCTTCAGTTTAGAAAGGTGGGAAGGCTGCGATATGAAACCAGACTCCTGCTGTGCCGAAGTGCTTTGGTGTTAACACTGGTATTGGTGATGTTTTGGCCTCTTAGCTGCAAAGAGATGATGGCAATTGCCCTGTCCCAGTTCTTCCCTATGCCATTTCTGCACCCAGCTGGTGCTGAGGAAAATTCCACCTGAATTTTTTCAGCACTCTCAGTCATATAAAGAGAAAACAGTATAGAGACCCTGGACTTTTTCATGGTTCACTCTAACTCACAGGCATGTAAAATGGCAAAATCAGTGTAAGAATCACCTGCACTTTGTTTCAGAGTTACTTGACCAAAGATGTCTCTGCAGTCCACTTGTTCTGAAGGCCATGAAAGTCACGGTCAATGGTATTTTTGCATTTTCTGGTCTTAACACCTGTCCTGCTTTCAGCTGGGGCAGAGTTAATTTTCTTCATAGTAGCTGGTATGGTGCCCTGTTTTGGATTTAGGATTAGAAAAATGTTGATACCACGCTGATGTTTTGATTGTTGCAGAGCAGTGCTTACACAGAGCCAAGGACATCTTGGCTTCTCACACTGCCCTGCCAGCGAGGAGGCTGGGGCTGCCCAAGTTGCTGAGAGGGGACACAGCTGGGACAGCTGGCCCAAACTGGACAGAGGGATATCCTGTACCATGTGGCATCACGGTCAGCAATAAAACTGGGGGAGTTGTCAGGGAGGATTGCTTGCTCAACCACTCTTGGGGACTGGCTGGGTATCAGTCAGTGGGTAGTGAGCAGTTGCATTGTGCGTCACTTGTTTTGTGCATTCTTTTATTATTATTATCAATATTTCTCTTCTTTTTCTGACCCCTTAAACTATTTTTATCTCCAACCCACAAGTTTTGCCTTTTTTTTTTTTTTTTTTCTGATTCTCTCCCCCATCCCACTGAGGGGGAGCGAGCAAACGGCTGTGTGGTGCTTAGCTGCCTGCCGGGTTAAACCACAACACTACTAATTGACCTACATATGTTTTTTAAGAAGTCCAAAACAAAATCAACCAATGAGTTATTTGTAGGGCACTTTGCTTTGTGAACTGCTTTTATTATTACGAAGTGTCTGTTCCAAGGGAGAGAGATGGTCTGACTCCCCGCCTTGGCTGACCTTCCTGCCCTCCCTCTACCATAGTGCTCAGTGAGGTGTGTGGGTGTTGGGGATGGGAGCAAGTATTGTTCTTTTTTCCCCATTCCCCTCATTTCTGAACAATGCAAATGAAATGCAGGGCTAAATGCAGATGTGTTTTATGAGGCAAAAGTGCAGAATTTGACTCACACAGGCTGCTATGCTAGAACAGAGCAGCTCATAAACCTCCTTCACTGTAGAATTTAAAAAGTTAAATGTGTGGAGAAAAGCCTACAGAAGCTGTCCGTCTAGGCAATTCAGAGCTGCAGCCTTGGTCTCTTTGCAGTGACAGGGAAGGTGGCAGCTGGATCACATTATGCGTGATGCATAGCACGCACTGCACCCCGTGCTTCTCCTTGCACTTGTAGGTGGGCCCGAGCACTTGCAAAAGCACCAGGAAGCCTGAGGGAACTGGAGGTTCTCAAGAAACTTGCAGAGCTGGGGAGCAGGAAGGAGTGGGCGAGTGAAGGTGCAGCAGCAGCAACTGGTACAAGAGGATGAATGGGGATAAATCGCTGGTAGCTGAGCGGGCAGAGATACTCACATTAGTCAGACAGAGGAGTACCAGTGGAAAAGGAGGGCTGGAGTTAGCAGATGTGCAGAACACAACTGGAAAGCGTTTGTAAGCTTTCAGCAATTCTTTCACAACTTCTCCACTCTCCTGCTATTAATTTCTGCTTATCTGGGCTGGCTTGTGTGTTGTGAATGTAAATGAGCGCAGTGGCTTGCTGGGGTCTCTGTGAAATGCAAAAATTAACGTGTGGTTCATGAGAAATGACTGCTCTGGTTTGCATCTGTGGAGCTGTCGCTGTTGTACACAGTCAGACACGAGGATCTTGATCCTGCGAGCTCTTGTAACCATTAACATCTTAATAAATGCTACTAACTTCCTTTGAGCATTTATACGTGTGTGTTTGAGGTGCGAGAGCTTACACCTGGCTACGAGTTCTACAAACAACAGCAAAAACAAGCAAACAAAACCCACTGCAAGATGGAAAAAATACACCATTAGTTTATTAAGAATACCCAAATTAGAGCAGGATTTTGTGACAAAGTGCCATAACGAGACCCTAAATTAGTCACTTGCTTGTTCAAAAGTGTCTTGTGTTTGACAGGCAGCTTTTTGGCTGTTTTTCTGTTTCTAATTTGGTTTAACCCACCATTTGAGGACTGAAGTGCAGAAAGTCCCCACCCAGCAGAGAAAGTCTTGCAAGGCTGAAAAGAGGAAGGCCTATTTTGCAACCGGGGTGGTTTTCCCCCGGGACATGCATGATGGTGAACAGGCAGAGTAGCATTCTTATTGTAGGTGAAAACTTATGAAAACTTGGATTTCCTTTCCATGTTTGCAATTTTGCAAGTGTTTACCAGGGAAGGAAGGAGGGCGAGATGAATCCCAGAGCATACTGAGGTCTCAAATGTATTATCTGGATATGAGCAGGTGCCTTGCACCCTCCAGAACCACCGTCCAGCTTCCAAAATTAGGATGGGAGCAATGGAAACTGGAGCTGCCCAGCACCCCTGAGGATCAGGGTCTTTAAGAGTGAGACAAACTCCAGTGGCCTGCAAACCAAGGACACTGATGAATTCATTAACATCTTAGTTCAGACGACTACATGTGGAAGACAAAATATTGTGTAAGAACCTTACCTCTTCTAGAGTCATCTCTACAGAAGAGGCCGCGCTAGGACTGAAGGCTCCTGTAAAAGGACAGCCTTAGAGGGAGAGCCACTTGTGGTGTTCAGACCCTACTGGAAGGGAGGGTGCTTCTGGAGGGGGCCCCGAGACCTCCACGAGCATGGGCAGCAGCAGAGCTCTGCCCCAGCAGCCCTAGTTGCTCATTTACTTCGGCAGCCAGCAAGTTGGGAACTTGGTAAAGGTGGGGGAAGAGTTTTGGGGTGGGAATCAATCCTTGTCAGTGAAACATGGAGCTCTGTCAAGTCCTGTCTTCTCCCACTGGCTGCCATCCCCATCCTCCCTGGCACTGCTCCCCTCAGCTGTCCACGGGCACAACCCTGACATGTCGCTGCCTTCCAGAAGTCCTTGCTGGTGCTTCACATTAAGGTCAGGGTGGCAGGCAGCGTTGCCCACAGTGCAGAATACCATGTGCAGCTCCCCGAGCAACGCTGAGAAGCCAACCTTTGTTTCCAGGACAGGCCCCTGGGAGTCAGCAGCGTGACAGCAGAAAGAATCTGTTGATTGTGAGAGCTACCCCTGCCACTGCCCCCATGGCAGAAAATCCCCAAACACACGGAAGGAGGAAATTTTCAGCAAGGGGCCCGGCCTATAGCAGCGATCTATTTCCAAGCAGTGTCATCGGGACACCAAACAGGATCGTCTGTGGGCTCACCTGTAGCCTGCTGCCCTGGAAGCAGTGGTGTTGTCACAGCCATGATCATCTAAGACTGGCATGTCTCAAGCGGCTCACAGAAATGCCACCTATGTGGGGAATGTCTGTAGACCAGGCAAGCATTTGGAAGGAGGGCTTTACTCCATTAGCGAGAAGACAGCAGCGTTGAAAACAACACCACTGACATCCCTCCATGCTTTGCTGAAGAGCAAGGAGGACTTGATCTAGTTGCTTTCATATGTTTGTGTTTCAGTGCTATCTGTCTCACTCACATATCCTAGATTAAAAAAAAAAAAACCTTCATATTTCATATTCAGACCATGATTCATAATGCACATCTCATATTTCAGCAGTATTTAATAAAACAAACCTTTGAAAGAAACTGAGAAGCTCTTGCTTGCTCTTTTACATGTTTTAGGAAGACAGTGGTTTATCGATAAGCACACAATTCCTTTTTTCTGGCCAACAGTCCCTGGTATAAACGTGCAGCAGGTCAGGGAGTGTCATTAGAACTGGCTGTGAAAGGAAAGATCCCTGGAGTTGTAAGAACAAAGGTGACAATGTTTAGAAAATGAATAAGTGAAGTAAAATGCACCCCCTCCAAGAGTCTTCAAATGCTTAGAGTCTTAAATATGCTGTATTAGACCCCTTCTTCCTTCTTCTGTATCGATTAGAACCCAAACTTCCAGTTTGCTAGCTGACAGTGTGAAAATCCGATCATATGTCCATTAAAATCAAAGCCAAATATTTCAGTGCTCTCTGCAGGGGATGAGAGCCTTCCTATATTTCCATAGCAATTCTTTTTATTCCAGTGAAGAAGTTTATTTAATTCTGCTTAAGCTCTGTTCTATTTTAATAGGCATGCTTCAAACATTATTTGTGTGGATTTAAATATGCCCCCTTTGAGAATTGAAGAAAATAATTGAAAAATTCCTCACCAAGAGCTGATCTTTAGTTGTGTTTACCAGCTTCTGCCCTTCAGATGGTGATACAATTCATGTCATATAGGTAAGTTTTATATTAATAAATAAAAATGGTAAGCTGTCCTTCTAAAGTAGCATGAAGTGCTTGGATAACATTTAGAAATGGTATAAAGGGAGAACGCATCCCATCTGGCAAGCTGGGGTGTAAAATACGCTACATACAACCAGAAGGTTACACAAACTCGTGTGAAGTTACAGAAGGAGGTCACCACTTTTTTTCTGCCGACTGCAGGAACCTGTCAGCAAGGTCTAGTGTTGTGTAGGAGCTACCATAGGGCTTGGCAGAGGAGTTTGGAAGGCAGTAAGCAGGTGACAGGGTGGAACTGGGCTGAAATAAAATGTCTGTTTCAAGGTGTGTTGTTTTTTTTTTTTTCTTCTTTTCCTGCAGCTGGTATTTAAAGTGTCTTGGTTCCTTTTTTTTTTTTTTTTTAATAACCTGTTACCTGTACTGTACATACAGAAGCACTGTGCTTTGTATGGGTTTCCTGCACACATGCAAGCTTTATTCATGTCTCTTCCAGCTACTGTCCCCATGCCATGGTATTTGCTTTCTCAAACCTATCTCACTACAGTCAAAGAGGAGCAGCTGAACAATAGGGCCAACAGCCCTGTGTGCATTTTAAAATGCTTCACGAAAGACCCATTAAACCATTCAGTGAGGAGTCCTTTCAGCCTTGAAGTCAGAAATTTAGAGATGTGAAACTGAAACAGTTCAGAGCAGCTGAGCGATGGCTCACAGGCCGAGCGGAGGACTTGGTTTGGCACCAGGCCTCATGGTCCCCGCTGCAGCTGGGCGATGGTGGCAGTGGTGCTCTGACATCCAGGTGGTTCCTTTTCACTTCTCTGCTTCCCTAAAGAGAAATGGCTGCTTTCCAGCTGCCCATGCTATCTCTTGGACGAGGCATTTAGGCTTGTACCTAAGCCTGAGAGATGCTGGTGTGCAAAGCAGATTTCCTGTTCTAAGGTCCAGTTTTTCCTACACACCTTTCCCTAAGTCTTCCCTCATTCCAGAGACTCCCTGTAGCCAGGATAAGCTGTCTCTTAATAGCAAGGATTATGCCAGAACGCCTTATAGTTTAATAGCATTAAGCTTTCTCAAAGCTTGGTTCCCAAATGCGTATGTCTGCCTTGAACCTTCAGCAGTCATTATGAATAACAGGAGGATAAAGACAGTTGAGGGGAATTCCCCTCACACAGATGAAGAATAAATTCTTGCTAAATCGCCAGCGTGTTGGGGGGTGGGTGGGCAGGCACTGCAAACTTTTAAAGTAAAACGTGACTTCTACTCTACCACAGCGCCAGAATAATTCCAAAGAAGCAAAGGGATATGCATTTATGTAACTGGGATTAGAAGCCGGGCTGCTCTTCCCACAGAAAGATCCAGTCTCTAGGCTTTGTATTGAATGAACGACTGCCACATATTTGGGAGTTAGAAATTTTCCTTGTTAAAGATGAAGTGTACTCCTCGTGGGTCAGCTTCCGAGTTACTGATGCTCTGCTTGTTGAGCGTGTCAGCTAGGCCCTCAGGTCCACACAGAAAAACACCTATTCTGGAACTGTGAAGAAAATGAAAACATGGTCAGGAACTAAATATAGAGCAGCTGGATGTTGTTTGTGCATATCAACCTTATGTTCTGTAGCTGCAAGTCGTTTTTTTCTCAGTGACAGAACTTAAAAGAGAACAGCATGTCTCCCCTTTAAAACTTATAACTCCTTCAAACTTGTAAGGCATCTACTACTGCTTCTAAAGCAGATGGTGGGCTACATCTCAGCTCAGCAGAAGTCAGTGAAGACAGTTCTATGGACCTCAGTGGAATAAATAAAGTGAAGCCTCAGAGTTTATGACACAAATTGTTGAAAGGAACTGTTCTATTTTTTCCTACAAATTTTGGGTGCTCAGCCAAAGGCCATCAATATTTAGTTTTATTTATTTATTTACTTATTTATAGGTAGAAAGCATTACTATTTGAGGTATTTAGAGGTCAAATGACTTTCCTATCTACTTCAGCTAGGAAGTTGTGATATGTGTTTTCTAAAACATTGCTAGTAATTGCATACTGCATGAAGTACCTCACCAAACATGGATGATTTTTTTTTTTTTTAAGCTGTAGGTTAAAACAATTTGGTCAAGACTCCAGGTCATGTCCATGTCTGAAACCAGATTAGAAGATACTTGGAGATTGTTTTTTAAATACTCTAAAATACTCTCCTCAAACATTATTGGTCAAAGGAACAAGATTGTGCTATTATGGTGTTCAGACAGAGGACTATCAGTACAGGTTTACCCTGGATGCTGCCTTGCAATGGTTTTGAACTCGTTTTCCCAGTTAGGTCTTCCATACAAGGTTTTCTGCTTAAGGCCTGTAATCACATCCTTCTCTTCTTCATGATGCACTACAAAATGAGTGGCCTGTGGGAAACGAAAGACAAAGGACAGCAGCATGTCAATATGCACTGAATTATTTGCAAACTAAGAACATTCCTGAAGAATTTATGGTGTTTAGGAAGGAAAGTTACATGGGTATAGTCCTGACTAGTAGTGTCCATCTCCCTCTTTTCCCCTGATTGGTTTATCTCAAGACTTAAAGCCATAAAGTGTTGAACACTGAAATGACATTTCTTTTGGAATGAACTGTTTTAGTCCAAGAACTGTAATCAGTACATAAGGCAGTGATATTTTCTGCAGTGTTTTTACCTGAGATTCATCCCAGCCTGTAAGGTAGATGTTATAGCTGAGAAACTCCGCGTTATTTCTCTCCTGCATTTGAGTTTCCAGAGACTGCAAGAGGTCAGCAAACCATTCAAAGGCATGAGTGTCCCTGCAAAGCCAGTAAAAATAGATCTGGAAGAGACAAGAGTAAACTGTCAGGGGACATAGTCCTTTAGGTTTCCGGGTTTCTGTCTGCTGACTGAATGAGGATTTCAGAGTTCTTGTAGAAATTTTCCTGACCAGTTCAGCTAATGGGTAGGTAGTACTGAAGCTATTCAGGAGTTGTGACACTGGGAGGGTTGTGAAGCAGAATGAGTGACTGCAAGAACAAAGAAACATCTTTCTATTTGTCTTTCACTAGTGGGTTACATTTGTAGTTCAGGATGTTTCCCTAGTTGTAAAACAGCTTGTTAGGATGTAAAACAGTGACCTGGAGGTAGATTCTATCTCCCTGTCTGCTGGCAGGGAAGTTAAATTAAAGCAGGTAACGAAATCAGATCTGTCCTCTGGATATGCCCATAACTGTGGAGTGTGGCCCCACATCTCTGCACAGGGACTTTCCAGGGGCAGAAGGCAAGAAGAGGATGGCAGCAGGGTGCTTCCACTGTCAGAGTTGCTCTCTTTGTTGTTAGGGAAGGCACACAATGTTTGCATGTGCTGGGGAAGTATGGCATGTCTTTTTGTATCTAGCATGGCTTGAATGGCACTTCCACCACAGGTGGAAATCCCCAAATCCCCAGGACCACAGCCAGGATTTGCGTATAGGACTTTGCTTCTAGGGTTTTTTTCTTTTTTTTTTTCTTTTTTTTTTTTTCTCTTTTTCCATCCTTTTGCTTCCCTACCTGCTCCTCTTGTGAGACAACTGGGCTCTTCTTTCAGGATTTATGCATGTTTGGAGCCAGATCCCTTTTCTGGGCCTGTCTCGATTTGGGCTGTCAGCCCTCCAACAACTACATGAGTTCTGGGAAATTTCTGTGACAAAGAGGACACGTACCTTCTTAAGTTTTAGGTTGGTTGCATCGTGGCAGTATTTGTACCAGACAGACTTGAGCACGGATGCAAATGGTGTGACCCCTATCCCAGCTCCAACAAGCATAACAGTTTCATAACTGAACACGTCCTCACTGGCGGTTCCAAAGGGGCCATCCACAGCTATCCTGAAATCAAAAGTACTCTTAAGAAATCAATAGTGAATATTTGTTAGCACCATTTAAAGTAACAGTAGAAAGGTAAAGTATTTGTCTGTTAAAATGCATGTTTGGGCTGAATTCTAGAAAGTAGGAGAAAAGGTGGATTTGATCATAGGAGGGAACTGGAAGGAGCAGTCCAAGGTCAGCATCTGTGATGGAAGTAGTTAATGACTGCATCGCAGGTGCCACCAAACTGGCTGAGTACAATTTAAAGTGTTTAAGATTTTGGTTGGCTTTGTGGTGGAGTCTCTCTGTACATACTTGGGCAACTTCCAGGCCTCCTGGAATTCTTGCTTGTCACATCCGCAGGCATTGAACAAGCCCTCTGTCCAGTCCCCCACAATACGGACATGAATACTGAAGTAATCCTCTTCTGGGGCAGAGGTTAGAGTGAATGGATGCCATTCCAGTTTAGACACTGCTGGACATTTGACAAAAATATATTGTCCGACCTCCATCTTGAAACCCTTCTTCATCATCTGGAGCTCAATTGTCTTGAAAGGATGAATCACCACCTACAGCCAGAGGGACAAGGGGAAAAAAAAAAGACAAAAGGAAAAGGCTGTCTTCCCTGATCACTGGTTTTATCTGTCCTTCATCATCCTTTCCTATGAAGGCAAGGAAGGCAGGTGAAACTTTGTTCCTAGTAAACTGGGAGTGAGAAGCAATGCCTGACAGCCAGGTGAAACACTGCAGAAGATGCTAAATTGTTGGCTGAGGTACCTTTTTCACACTGCACGTGCAGTCACTCCAAAAGGGATAGGTCACACTGGCACATCTTGTGACACATCACCAGATCTGTGTATGCACATTGCTAATTCTAGGTGCACCTTACACAGTGGCACAGTGTTAATGAAACTGGGTGTATGTATCAACAAAGAGCTATCATAAAGGTAGGGAATTAGACAGATAGTACCACTGGAAACTGAAGTTTTCGTGTTATACCTGGGTGGGAACTATAGTTGTGCCTATTGTACCTATATTTAGCCAAGAAGTAACAGTAGGAATATTCTAGAAGCAAGGCGAGTATTTCAGTCACTGCAATTTTTTAATCCCAAAGTTGTTTGCCAATGTTATTTTCAATTTTTAGAAGAGAATCAGGTCTCTCTGTTTATTAATGTAGGTATCAATAATAGCACTCAGCATTGTGGAAGAAGCTTCCGGCCAACAAGGAACCAAGTAGGCACAATAGACATATGATGCAGAAATAGAGAGATTTTGGTAAAGTTACTAGAAAGCATGCTAGAGTACAGGAGCCTTCCAATATGTCAGCATGGTGCCAGGAACAGTAGAGGCATCTACTATGATCCCCCAGATCCTGCTATGACTTGAACGGGGTAGGTCCATGAGATGCAACACACTGCCCGTGAAGAAATTATGTTGGGAAAGGCCAGGGGAGTTTTTGTATTTCTGAGTTTGATGCCACGATAATTTGCCTATCATACTTTCAGAATCAGCATTAACATCTCTGCAACACACCATGGGGACCTACCACCTAAGCTTAATGTTAGCTTTGGCTGTGCAAAATAGGACCCCTTAGCTCTCCTACTCAGAAGACATTTGTTCTGCTGAAAAATCAGAATTCCTAAATATCCAGGTAGTTTTGAAAAGAAAGATTTGTTATCCTAAATTACTCTTTATGCCGTGGAGTATTTACATTGGTGAGCATTTCGCTAGATCTGAAGAAAATTAATTCTCTAAGACTCAGTCCTGTGCCTTAGCTAACTTCTTCCTGCACTCTTTTAAAGAGCATCCTGGGGACAACTATCCTTGGATATTAGAGGTTAGTATTATTTTTGTGTGTTAGCAGCCAGGACACACCTGAGAGGTCTTTAATTGACCACATTGTCTAATTTGTAGGGACTGCTGGCTTTGCTGCACTGTCTGGAAAAATTGGTAATGTTTTGCCCAGTGTTAAGCATACCATCAACACATACCTTTGTGATAACAACCTTCTGCTGTGACCTCCAAAACCGCACCAACCTCTCACAGAGGTACAAAAACATGGGACCTACTACCCACTTCCATGTCTGTTAACAGAATAAAATGAGAAGTCAGATCATGAAGATGGCAATTGACATTACACTGAGTTCTGGAAGTGCTATTAACAGGAGTTAATTTAAGTTACTTATCAACCAGAGAAGGGAAGCCTTAAAATATATGACACCTTCAAAATAGCTTCTGCTCAGAGAAAGAATTTCTTTCTTTGTTGAGAATTGCAGTTGGATTTTTAATGGATACAATAGTTACAGCAATGCACTTTCCTATGGGTGATTTTGTCTATACCTTAAAACTAAGGTAGGTAGGTGTAATGAGGAATACAACTCTCAATGTGTTACTGACTCAGGTCTGTATTACTGCAGGGAAGTTTTCTGTTAACAGCTCTGTCTGAAACATAAATGAAAGCCAGCCTGGTTAGTCAGTAAGAGCTGAAGTTTCAGCTCTTGATGTCTGGAGACAATCATTTTCTGTTAATGATTATCGATCCATTAATAATATGAAACTATTATGTGGATTATAGCACTTTTTAGGAACTGCCACAAGCTGCAAAATACATTTCGTAAACACGTTTTACGTAAAGTAAGCCGCTTTCTGAAGTGACTGTATACATTATTTAACAAAAAGTGAACTCTAAACATTTTTGATTGACTTTACACTCAGAACAATTGTTCTTACCATAGGAGGATTCCCTGAAAACTGGGGGATTGGGCAAGCTCCTTTTCTCCCCCACTCACTGAAGTTCTTATAGCAAATCTCTGGTTTATGTACAGCCAGACTTTCCTCAGTCTGTCCACGTACAATACGCCTGAAAAAAAATTGCAAAACATTAAGGGAATGAAATGTAAATGAACTTATTGTCATGAACTGTCACTTATTATTATTCTGTTTATGTACTAATCTATTTCCATGAAGTTATGGACTTCTGCAGTGCTGGTGTTCCTTTTGATTCAGTTCTATTTCTCTGACCAACCCACAAAATTCCTATTAAAATGATAATAATGAGGAGGAAAGTTTGTGGGGGAAAATACCAACAACAAGATCAGATGAGGAACTAAGGGGTATGTTCATTATCATTTCCAGTACATGGTCACAATAGGAAAACTTCATTCTTTTCAAAGCAATCCTACTTTTTCCTTCAATAAGAAAAACCAAACAGGGAGTGGGCTCAATAATCAGTTTCCTAGCGAAATTATCAGTTTCCTAGTGATCAGTGCAGAAATTATTACTGTTATTTAGCTTAGAAATCATAGAGAACCCATTCCAAAGTACCTCCTTTGATACTTTCTCTCTCTTTAAAGCTGCACAGTAGATGTTCAGTTGGTGTGAATGGGCACAGGTTCCTCTGGCTCAGTGGAGCTACGCCAGCCTGCCAGCCAAACCAGTTGATGTCAGCTGATGATCCTGACTCTATATTTCAGCTTGTGTTTTGGTTTGGTTTGTATTGGTTGTTTGTTTTATTATAGAGAAGCCTGATTGCTCCAGTTCTAGCTTTCTAGTAGCAGAGCTGGTGCTGGAAGAAAATTTCAGTCTTGAGGACGAAAAACATACTCAGAACTTGTTCGCCATTTCCTGCCTCTGTGTGGAGTTCTACCAGCCTCTGGGGCACGTGAGAGTCCCCAGAATGACAGTAATTAATAGGATGATGGTGATAGCAAAGAAATGAAGATTTAGATCTGATGACTTTCCCTGGAAATGGTCTGATTCTGATTGGCTTCATGCCAATATGATCCTGTTGATATTTTCTTTCCACGACTTCTCTTTCTGCATTTCAAGATTGGTTTCCTTGAACTGAACTGTGTTTCTGATGTTTCAATGAAATTTGGTATCTAAGTTAAATGCGTATCTGTCTTTAAGTGACAAATGTATCAGAGGATTATTGCAGTGCCTGTGCACTATCTTGAAAGTTAAAAGATTTCAACGCTGATAGATACTACTATCGAATCGCTTCCTCATTAAGGGTTTCATTGTCATCCTGCCTGAAAAATAAAGGGAAAGAATGACACTGTCCTAGGAGCATCACGAGTTGCAGTTTGCAGGATCACCAGTTGCAATTCACTTCCCCACTAGTGACAACGGCTTCAGCGGAGCCGCCCTCTGGGGTGATTTACAGGAACAGGAGGAGCCCATTTTCCGCCTGTTTTCTGACAACCCTCATCCCCATCACTTAAGGGAAAGAGTGGGCCTGGTGGCTTTTGCCCTGCCCTATAATCCACTCAGAGTTTGACAATGCTGGGAGCTTGTACAAGAAAAGGGAAACAATTATTTTCACTTACTGTGCAGTGTAGATGCTCTTCCAGTACTGAAATTAAGCGTTCAGTAATATAGCCTTATCATTACTTCTTTTTCTGCTACAAGTTTTACTTTAACTTCCAAGGCAGGGTGATCTGAATCTCTGTACTCTTTCCTCTTCACATTTACTACAACAGGAGGATTTGGACTTTTGTCTGTGACATAACTCGCGCACAGAATATCGGTGATGGAAAAATGCTTTAACAGCTTGTAACAGACAAGAATTTGCCCCCTTCATTCCATTAACTATATTTGCTTCAGTTTTCTGTATATACACGCATATATGTATGTACATATACCTATGTATAACACAGCCTTTTCTTTTGAGATACGATGACATCTATGCCTCTTTCAAACATACAACTTTGAGAGTGTCAGATCATACTTATTTTATAACATCTGTCTTTACACATCTAAGATTCCTTCCCTGAGCATAAAAAGACCATCTAATATTTTTTCAGTATAGTATCATTTTCTCTAAACTCGAAATGTCTTTTGCTTTTAAGGCAAAATAGGATGGAGCTATCTTTGCCTGAAAGTGATCTAACACCTATCCTGCATACAACTAACGGCCACTCTGAGTTCACTGCCAGAAATCATTCTTCCATCTACAGATAATAATATTCCTGTATTTCTCTCCTCCCAAAGTCTAGCTGAATCTCTCTGACAACACGTCAACCTCTACTGCTGCCCAAACTCTGTCTTTTCAGTACTATGTTATTAAAATGATGAAGATATAGTCCACATCCAAGTAACCAAAAAGTCAGCTTTTATGAAATATATGCTACTCACTGACTGCTAGAAAGAGCAATGCTTGCTTTCTGACAGCATTGTGTAGTAGCTGTTGACAAGTCTGGACATTTTGTTGGTAATTATAATGTGTTTGCTGAAGGAAACATGACCCATTTGTTCTTTTCCTTCAATGTTTTACTCAAACATTCTTCTTGTTTTGGAAGTTTAAATGGACTATCGTTGCTGGTGATCCTCCTCTGCCTTCTATTTTTGCTGTTCCTGTTGTAGTCTCATTTCTGTCGTCTTTTTTTTTTTTTTTTTTTTTTTTTTTCTAGCACTACTGGACTAAGAGGAAGTGTTGTTGAATAGTCATTTTGGTTGGGCATTTTTAAAGGACGCTTTCTAGTGCTCTGAATCCTTAGCTATTTTTAAGGTAATAACACCTAGAATTTCATTGTAAATGGATAAAATGGATAAAATAGCATAATTATCAACTATGAAATGTGGCTTGGAAGATTTAGCTTTTTTTTTTTTTTTTTTTTCTCTTTATGCATCAGTTCTGTAGTTTTAAAAAATGAAACTAAAGTTCATTTTTCTAAGCAGTTAAATTGCTTATGCGTAGTCCTAAAATTGTTTCAATAGGCTATTCAGGTAATTCAGAAGGTATGGAATGAACTTTCCAACTGAATGTTGGAAAAGAAAATGTTTGGCGTTTAAAAGTTACAAAAACTTACAGCTACCTGTATTTGAGCTGCAACAGCTAAAAATCTATTATGAAATGCTGTTGATACTAAAAGCCCCAAAAGTCATCCAAGTCTGAAAGATAAATGCATGTTGTTGTAGTTATCATTTATTCCATAAAATCCTAGGCCTTATGTTATTACTATTCCTTTTAGGACACAAAGATAAAATACAAATTAGAAACCAGAACCCTGGGAAAGAGCTTTCCAGTTTAAGTATCAGAAAGAGTTGGTTATCAGTGAACTGATAGGCTTGACTTTCATAAGCCTCATGCATGTGAATAATGTGTTGCTTGTATCTGAGGGCCTATTGGCCTCAGAACCCATATTGGTGCATCATTACCATAAAACTAACCGCTGTTTAGTGACTTAAGTCTCTATATACATCTGTGGGTAGAGAACTTTAAGCTAAAATATAGTAGTTATCATGTATTGTGCGATAAATGAGAATACTCACCCAGCACCATGGATGACAAGGCCAATAAAGAAGATGACAAAGAGATGATGTGTGTACCAAAATACTTCAAAATATGACCTTCTGATGGTTTTGGTGGACGACGTGATGATTAGTATGAGGGCCAAAGTGATGATAACACCAGTGAGACCAGCCAAGTATGTGAAAGCCACATATAAGCCCCCCACGGGATTCTGTAAAATAATTGAACACATTGGTCTAAGGACGAGGCTGCATCAAAGCTGAGCCAGCTGAACCACCAGTCTGTCTCCCTTGCCAAACTCTTTATCTTGTTGCAAATCTTTAAGTCATTTTCTATGAATTTGCCAACAATGTTTTGAAAACCCACTTCATTTTTGTTTTACTGCGAATGTACTCTTACTAAAGTAAGTGGAAGTGGAGATAAAGGATTTTCCACATATTAGCACACCAAGGATTGTTTCTTACTCTGCCACTGCTCAGCACTACGGGCTTGGGGAAAAGCAAGATTTTTGAGCAACTCTGTTTCTAGAGCTGAGGTCCTACATCCATATTTAGGAAGCTAAATTAAAGTTCTCATTTTCAGTAGTGTTGTGCAGCTGTGGTTCTCAAAACTTATGTCAGACTCTTGGTGCTTCTGAGGAACTTTTGCTTTGATTTCTGTCTGCCTAATGAGAAGATTTCTTTATGGGGCATTTGTTTTTATGAAACGGTTTAAAGCTAATGTGAAAACCTCACGTGAAAAGATATAAAGTATTACCAAAAGTCAGCCACGTTATTATTGACCAACATAAGGGAATTAATTACAGAAGACTGTCCTGCAAGATGGTTCAAATGCAGATTGTGCACTCCAGAAATAGGAAATCTACTGGGATATTCTTGCATGATTATCTAGATGAATGGAATAATGATTCTTCACAGCCTGATGTCACTTACCGGAATAGTTTGCCTAAAAAAATTGACATAGCTTTCTTCTGGCTTATCACCAAGTTTCGAGAGTACAGATGCGAGAGTGTTTTTGTCCTCAACACGTGCTTGCACACTCCACTCCACATTGAATAAGTGTGCAATGGTGTGAATTGCTAGGAGTGACAGGAAACAAATAATTAGGGTTAAGCACAGGGTAAGTACTCAGTGTTTTGGGGTAACATTTGAGTGAACACTGTAATGCTTCTCAACAGCAGCTTAGAACCTTTGCCACTCTCACCCTCTTCATCACAATTTCAGATCACTGATGTGTGTTATTGCTAAAGTTTCACCATCTGAAGTTTACACCTTTTACTGGGTAGAGGAAGGAAAGAGGTAAAGGGAAAAAAAAATCTAGAACATCTTTGTTCAACAAAGGTTTTCAGCAATTCAAGTTGAAGAGCAGTGCCCTAATTTTATACTTGGGATGGCTTAAGTTATCTGTCAGGATCATACAGAAACTATGTAGAAGACTGAAGCAGTGAATCTGGATCTCTTTGGTGTTAGATTTTTTAGGGCTTCTTTGCCCTAACAAAGCTTCTTTGCTTTGTTTGGCTAGCAGTTATTAGAAAGTTTTTGCTGGGCTGGACTTGTCCATAAACTAGTTCACCTGAAGTATTTCACACTATTTTCACAGTGTGTTATTGCAGGGGTAAGCTATACAACACTTCTCGAATATTTTCCACTTTTATATAACTGGATATTTACTCACATGCAAATCAGGGCCTGAGTGGCCTTACATAAACTGAATTGCTCCGTTCCTTTCCTGTGAAATGGTGAGCTCAAGTAATCTACTGATGTTACTACTGTTCTAAGATACATGATTTGTTAGATACTTGAATTGAGAAGTGACAAATTTGTTGGGGGTGGAAAAAAAACAAAAACCAAAAAACTTTAGTTTACCTGATAAGAGATAAAACATGAAAATAATTCAACAGCCTGCCCTAGTTTTTACAATGCTTTCTTTAATTATTTCTATTATTTTTTCAGATGTGCCAGCCAATTTATAAGCCTAAACAAAAAAATTGCTAAAGTACCAGGTTCTCAAGGCTTTGCTAAATACTCTTTATTAATCAGTGTCATGAATTCTGCTAACAGTGCAACAGAAAGGTATCATTTCTTACTTATCTTTTGCTCTCTGCCAGTTGCAGATCAATGACTGAAAACTGTTCTAAGCCTTGATACATGCTGACTCCTTTAGGTTAATGAAATCAGCTCTCTGCCCATATCCATAAGAACTTGAATCCCACCTGAATTTTGCCTAAAATGAAAAAGCAAGTAATAAACAGAGAAACATTTGAGTACCAACCAGTATGAAGGGCGATCATCCATGCCACCATTTTGTGAAAAGTGAGGTTCCTGTCCAGCTGTCGTCTGACACGGGTAGAGCAGCACTTTGGGGTTGAAGAAAAAAAGTATTTGTGGACTACTTGTGATGCCTTTGCATATTTATTTAAATGCAGGGAAAACAAAAAAGTGAACAAAAAATAAAGGCCCTAAGCATAACAATTGCTCACATTGGTGGTAAAGAATATTTAGGAATTCAGAATTCCTAAATATAAACAAAAATATATCACTCCATACTTAGAATATAATCATAATATTATATTTTACTATGTCCCATTGAAACAAAGTATATGATAATGAGAAAAAAATAACATGCAGTATGGCAAGAATATATGCCTTATCTGTGTTAAATTTAAGTTACATGTTATAAATGGACGGGATCATCACACTCTGCCATGCTAGGACAAGGTGACTGTTTTGGTAGGGATTCAGGTTGCCAGCTAGCATCAGAATCCTGTTGTGGTTCACACTGTAGAAATGGACTGCAAAACCATAACTGTCATCTCAGAGAACTTCCACTCCAAACGCAGCAGGCACTTATGTTCCTAAGTGATTCCTTCCCCAAAACACTGGGTGTACTTGCCAGACATTCATTTGCAAATTGTCACTAATGTTATCCAACGGGAAACAGGAATAAAAAAACCTCTCTGCTAATACAAGCTGAAGAACTTGGTTCTTAAGAAAAACAGAATGGTATTTTCATTAACGATTATGACAGGTGCCTAAGAGACCCTATCTAAATTGCGTTGTAGTCCGTGGCTGTTCTCCTATAAATTGAAGTTCTTGTAAACCTAGCATTTGTTGCCTCCACGCAGTAGAAAGCATAAATATCCTGTGTTGTGTCCTTATATTGCTTTTGCTAACTGCCAAAAGTAACAGAACACTAAGCAAGCTAAAACATTATATGCCTTGGAGCCATATAAATGTTTCACACAAGAAATTAAGAGAGATCAAAATTTTCTTCCAAGTGCTTGCTGAACATTAACTTTGTAGACAGCCAGGTAAAGTATCTTCCCATGTAACAGGGTGGATCTGATCATTCCAGATCATTGTTTTGTTTTGTTTCATTTTGTTTTGTTTTCCAGCTATGACTTTGATTAAAAGGCAAACTTTAACACTACTACAATGACTTCAGCAGACTATAACAACAGCCAGAATAAATTTCACCTTCTCTGCATCACGTGCCTTGAGATATAATTAAAAAGCTTGTAGAATAAAGAGTAGTACAGCATGGAAGTGCCCATCCTGCTTTTCTGCCTTGCAAAAAGCAGGTAGGAACACTAGATCTTGCTGTTTAAGAGTTTAAGACCAAGTGATGGCAAAATGCTGTAGTGAAGTTCGGTAGTGAGGCTCATTAACAAAAGCAATGAATATAGCAAGAAAGGGCATGTAAAGACAACACAGCTGTTCTTTCAATTAATAATAAACAACTTTGTGGTGTATCATTTCTGGGTGGCAGAATGTAAAGGGCAGGAGTTTCCATCACATTCCTATTGAGCAATTCACCCTCTGCCTAACCCCAATGGCATTGCTACTGGAAAGGCCGCTGCCCCTTCAGTAAGTAACATGACATTTAAAAATCCTGATTTTCTTAAGAGATCCTCACAGGTTTTACTTCCAGAGCATAGCTAATTAGACAAAAGAGTAGAACAAGCACAAACAGCTGCACCACTGCACCATGGCCACCACAGTCCTGTCCCTACCAGTGGGACACTAAGCTGTGCATGTTTTGCTTAAGGTATACAATTCCTTCCTTCCTGAGGTAATACAACACATTGCTACATTGCTATAGATATATTGTATAAAATTGATTTATGTCTATAAATACATTGTATATGTAATATATAAATAAACAAATGTAAAAAAAAAGCTATTGAGATTTATTGAATCAAGCAACAGAAGTTAAAGAAACTCCAAACAGTCTTAAAATCCTATTTTATGTCCCTCCCTCATGTCCTTATTCATCCTCAGAGTCCTGAGCTTCCTCACACAGCCTGGTGCTGTCAGCTGCAGGCAGGCAGCAGAAATGAAGCTGTAGATCTCTACATGGTTCAGACTCGCAAACTGGGTAAAAGATGAGCAATTCAGGACAAGAAGCTTTAAGACCCAGTTGCAGTACAATTCTCAACCCTTGGAATCAGTTTTTAGCATTCCAGTAATGTTTCTGAAAATGTCTTCAGCTCTTTCATTGCTTTGAGCTCAGAAGACTTCTTCCCAACCTGCTTACAACCCAACTTTGGACAGCATTGGAAATACAATTTAGGAGCTTAATGTGGCAGAAACAGTTCACTTTTTCATCCACACTGATTGTCAAACCATATGTACTGGATGAGTGTACAGTGTGGGTTGTCTCTGATTATTTTCTTACGTGTTCCCTCAGCTGACAAGGGTCATCCATTTTGTATTAATAAGGTTTGCAACTTGTAGATGCTTTTGGAGGCCTAATCATCATAGCTGTGGAATGGGAACCTTTTCTAGTATGCCTGAATAAAATCATTTAATCTTTCTGTCTGCATTATTTCTGCTGTAATAGAGATCTAGGTTTCAGTAATGTGATACAGTCAGTGCTATCAGAGGAAGCCACTCCAGATATCACCTAGAATTGGTTGTCCTTTTTCTTAGTGGTGGTTCCTTGGTGCTGTGCATAACGTGTGTATTTGGGAGCTAGAAATGGTCAAAAGGCTAGTGAACTATTTTATCCTGAGATAGAAATGCAATGCAGAAAAGAAAGAATGTAACTTATGAACCACTTGAAAAGTCCCATTCTAAGTCTGTGAAAGGATACATTTGCTGTAAGAACTGAACATGCACAGACAGAAGACATGGGTTAATTTCTCCTACTATAAATGGGCATTGTATCATTGACAAATGAGGCAAATATGTGTAAGCATCACCAGTGGTGTCTGGCAGACAGAACAGGGCCCTTGCATCCAAGGCAGCATGATGCCCAGAAGGCAACAAAAAAGGGAAGAAGTCTAAGTCAAGGCTAAGTACCTCAACAGAGCTCTAGGCATGCCATTGGCATAGAGACCTCAGTCTTTCTCATAGCAAAACTTTGGCCTTCTCTACTTCTTCATAAAGGACATCCCCAAATAACAGTGTACTTGGGGAACTTGGGCTGTCACTTGGGTGTATTTGTAAGGCTACTTGGGTTATTATCTTTCATAAATTTTGAAATTCTTTCTTCATCTTACCGCACTTGATCCTCTGAGGAAGGAGAGCAAGTTTCGACATACTGGCAGCAGAATCAGCATGCAGTTGAAATTCAGACAAGCTGCAGGAGCCCTTGCCAGAGCCAAAGCATGCTGTAATTGGAGAGATGCTATTATTAAATGAATTACCTAGGACATTATCCAGGAGACACATAAGCAAAGATTTCATTTATGTATTATATCACAAGTATTAATGAGTGTGAGATCTAGAGTTAATTAACAATGCTTGCATTTCAGAGTAGCCATGCTCTGGCCTAGTTAGGGGCACATATGCAGAAAGAAAACCTTCCTTCAGACAGACACTTTCCATGCCCAGTTTTGAAATAATATGGTTGTATGAAAAGCTCCCTCTCAGACCTGACAGTTCGTGGCCAAGCACAGATGCAGCTCTAAGCCATCAGGAGAGTTTTCTGTCCCAGCGTTATAAAGAAAGAGGCCCTGTTGTGGTTTCAGTTGGCTGAGGGTTAGGACAGAGAGAAGGACAGCTAAAAAGGGAAGTGGCTGAGTGTTCCAAAAGACAACAGGACTGGATCAGGACTAGTCTTTCGTGTAATTAACATTCATATCACAGAAGCTTTGTCTTGCTCATAAAGCTCATGTTATCTTCAGAAGGTTAATGTCTAAGGCTCCTGCTCTGACCTGTCCCTTGTGCGTGCACCTTTGTTGTCAGTAAAGAGAGTCTAGGGAAATTCATTGCCCCGTCTTTTAGGCATGTGTTCCCTAGATGTTGATCTTCACATCCTGAATAATTTCAAATTTCGACTAAGACAGTTTGGAAGGAGGGGTTAGTGACCATATTAATACAAAAACACTGAAGGGAAGAGAAATATAGTGTGTGCTCTCCTTGCATTGACTGGGACCCTTTCAAGTTTCAGATCACAGTAAGAGTAACTTGGGATTACACTGAGTTATCCACATACAGATCTGTGCCCTGATAACAAAAGGCAGAATTTGATCCATAGATCTGAACCCTGCATGATCTGAAATCCTGCATGAGCAGGATTTCCTGCTTGGTAGAATTAAACCATTGATTTGCAGAGCTTCTACAAAAGGATGTGTACTGTAATGTGAAGATGAGAGTGATTTTTGAGTCTGTGATCAGGCTTTTAAACTATATGAACAAATGAATCTCCTCTATTGGCCATGACCCTTTGTAGCTTTGGAAACACCTTCACTGTAAGACACCTAATGTTGCATCAACCAGTTAGGTTATATTGAATAGCCCATGGTCCAGGAGCACGTGGCTGCTTGAATACTATCCACACACTTGATGAATTATGATTTCTTTTCAGAGCTGATAACTATGTAAAATATTCAGGCAATGAAAAAGGGAAAATGGTTGCACAATAGTTCCAATGGCAATATTTTATTCACCTTCTGCTAAATAAAGCGGCAACAACACGCTTAGTTTAATTATCAGGAGAATAATAGTTACCTGGAAACACCTTTAGAATGAGATATCTCTATTTTGCATACCAGCTTTCTATTCAGAAGCACTGGATGTCTGTCTGCATTAAGTTATCTGTTTATGTGTGAATTTAACTCCTACATGAACCTGCTGCTCCAGCAACTTGATCCTGTTTCAGTCACAAAAAAAATAGGGAAAAATGCTATGTCTATGCTCAGTCTATGACAAGATAATGTATGTTTTGTACTTACACCAAGGAGTTCTCTGGTGTAGAAGAATTTTTGTGGGACGTCATATGCAAGATAGAACCACCAAAAGAGGAAGACATTTAACCCCAGCCACACAAGCTGAAAGAGAAACAAAGAGGAAACTTTACAGTTTGTTGTTACAGATCATATAGCTGAATTTACACAGTTCAAAAAATCTTCAATTAGTTCATTGTGCTTCTATTTGCAGAGTTAGGTGTGCTGCAGGTGGAAATGGGAGCACAGGAGTGGCAATAAACCAAACCACAGATATTGGTAGCTGAAACTTTTGCATAGTCTAAAAGACTTACAGTTATGTAAGGACTGTCATATTACAGGTGTCTAGCTAAGTCTGTGAGTCTAGATAAATCTCCAAACATCATGAAAAGTTCCAAATGGCAGTTTGCCTGAAAATGTCCTTCCCATGCTGCACAAGTCCAGGAAAGTGAAGGGATTTCCATCAGCATAAGGCAGGATATGGGAAATCCCCAAATCCTCATTATAGAATTAATCTAATCTCAGGATTAAATGCTCTTGAATACACATTTAAAGTGACAGCATGCCAGTCCCATGTACAGTAGCCTGACAGCATGCCCAGGAGGCCAAGATGTTTGGTGTGATCCTAGATGGATTCTCACATTCCTTGGTGCTGACCCATACAGAACATGGACCCTCTGAAAAACACGGTGACACTCTGGCAACTTGTGCTGAGTGGTCGAGTTAGGGGCCATCCATGCTTTTCAGCTAGGGCCAGTGAAGATTGAGCATGCTGGAGTTAAGGATGCTATGTGTCTGTTTTATAGAGGTAAATCAATACAGACTGTGGCTGTCCTGTTCCTATCAAGCACTGGACATCCCTGTAGCTAGTCAGTGTATAATAAAGCCATAGTGAATAATGCAGAATACTTTGGTAAGGAAAGTGAACTGTGTGTTCACTTAGTTGCTTTCTTTATTGGTGACTCCTTTAGTTTGTTTCCCTACTAGATAACCTTGTATACCCCTGAGACTAAAAAAGGAAATAAAAAAATCCTACTTAAACAACCTAATGGCCTCTTACTTAATTCTGTTAATATTTCAGTTCTGATGCAAAAAATATGCCCGAATTCACCTCTTGGTAGTTTCAACTTCCTCAAGTCACTGAGGGTGACAGCAAACGTAGTTACTCCTTTTCAAAGTACTAAAGTGCTAATGCTTTATTCCTAAACTAGAGATAAGCATCTACAATGTTGTATGTAAGTATCAAATGTGCACGGCAGCAGCAATACGTTTTTTGAACAAAGACATTCACATTTCAGTCACCACAAATATAGATTGTCTATGGCTTTTTTGCATTACTTTCACTATTTACATATACTAACCCCCCTTGGCAGAAATCCCATAAATGGCATTACATTTTTATTGTATATATTATGTAAAATAATATTATCATATCATATCATATCATATCATATCTACACATATTAAATGTTATATATGCATAGCACTTGTATCACAATTATGTGGAAAAAAGTGAATGTTGAAATACTTTATCGTGCCTACATTTTCTTCAAGGAGGACTGCCTTGCCTTACTCTTCGGCTCTTTTAAATGGGAATGAGATTTCTGGTACTTTTAAATCTTGCTTGGAATGAATTTAACCTACTTCCACGGCTACTCCATGCAAGCTATATACAAACTCAGTTCAAATGCTAGTTGTCCTAACAAAGCATTCATGAATCTCTACTCTAAATTCTGGAATCTGACTCTAATATAAATTCTCTATCCTCAAGACACATCCACAGTGCTTTCAGTTACATCTACTTTTGTTTACAAAAGTGCAAGAAAGGCTTGTTGTTGTGATTGCTTTCTATTTTTGAAGTGCACATGGTTTACAGTGATATGTAATGTTATTATTTCCCCTTAAGTCACTGTTGCATTCAAATAAAATAAATACTTACATTTATTTCTAACAAATAAAATGACAGTTAACATAAGATCATTTCTAAATTGACAATAAAGCTGATAGCAATCAAGACACCAGCCAGGGCTCCTAAAACATCGTGTTCTTGAAGTGTGTCACTGCACTTGCTGCCCTAGTTTCAGAATAATCAGATAAATCATTCACTGACACAGTGAGATCTGCTTATTAAAACCTTCTGTAGAACTTTCTAATGGATACAAATCACAATAAAAATTGTACTTACAACAACAAAGATGGACAGTCCTTCATTCTCCACCCAGTTACCCATGATTGTCTGAGACGAGAGTGCACAACAGCCCTGCTCTTTCTGGGATAGTGTCTCTGTCTTCTCTCATAAGGAAGTGAGAGCAGAAGCTTGCAGCAACCTGTTTCCTTTCTCATTCATTTAGGAAATAAGTTAACCATTGAATCATATCCATAGTTCAATTTCAAACACGTTTCTACCCCTTTTTCATAGAACTTTTCATAACTCATACATATATAAACCATTGAAATACACTTTTCCTCATGATACAGAATTTGGATAAAATAAATAACGTAACTGGTGAGGTTTTATGCTGATAAAAATATTGCTACTTTATGTAACTTTTAATGCTGAAGTATAATACACAAAGCACAGAACAGTTATCTCCTCTCCAGTCTTGTCTTTTTTATCACCTCAGCTCTGAATTGCCATTCCTGCAGATCCCCTTTGATAAATTATCAATAGAATTATTTATCTTTCAGTAATTTAATGTTCACAGAAGCCTTCAAATGTAATCTAACACTCCTCTTGTCTGGGACATACATGCAAACCTTGCCACTTCCTCTTTGCTTGGGTCAAAAGCGAGGACGTGTCACTTGACAGTCTGTTTTTCATATTTGGTACTGTCACACAGTTCCAGTCCTGAGAATCCTGTCACTCTATAAGAAAGAAAAAAAGAAAAAAGAAAAGGAAAAAAAAAGTAAGGTAAATATTTTTCTTCTGTGATTAGAGAGAAGAAATGGAAAATCATCCAAATGTATTTTAGAACTTGCAAGCCCATGGACATTTATCCCAAGTGTATTCATTTAAAAATGTATATATATGTTTGTGGGAAATTAATGATTCTGAATGTTTTGCCTCTGGTACCACAGTTCCCATACCTACAATAAAGATGGCAAAAAGATAGACTGGAGGAGGCTTTGGGATTGAGAAAGCACATCTTTTGGCAAGGTACAGTCCCTAGAGAGGAGAAATCCCTTTACACATGCCTCATGCTCACTTTTTTCTCCAATTCCACCTGTTGCACCACAGAAATACAGATCTCCTCCCAAAGTGACTGACAGAAGTCTGATTTCCAAGGAGGTGAGATGCATGTATGGATGATGGTAATGCATTCTACAAAGATCTTTTTAAACATTAAAAGCTATGTTCTTCCCTTCCCTTCCCTTCCCTTCCCTTCCCTTCCCTTCCCTTCCCTTCCCTTCCCTTCCCTTCCCTTCCCTTCCCTTCCCTTCCCTTCCCTTCCCTTCCCTTCCCTTCCCTTCCCTTCCCTTCCCTTCCCTTCCCTTCCCTTCCCTTCCCTTCCCTTCCCTTCCCTTCCCTTCCCTTCCCTTCCCTTCCCTTCCCTTCCCTTCCCTTCCCTTCCCTTCCCTTCTACGGAAGAGTTTGGCTTGTGATCTCCCTCTGCCAGAGCCATGCCATGTGGTTCTGCTTGCTCCCATCCTGCAGAACTTCATGGCTTCCCAGAAAGAAATTTTGGGAGAGCCTGGTGGGGCCTAGCACAATACTAACAGTTATAGAGAACAGGGCCATTTTCAGAGGCTTGATTCTGCTCCTACTGGAGTAAATAGAAAGCATCTTATCAAGCTTGTATAACTTAATTTCTTGGAGCCTGATTCTGGCAATGATGTGATATTTGGTCAGGATGTAAAACTGAAGATGAGGGCACCCAGCATAATTCCCGATGCTCTTGCTGTTTTCTTCCTGTCTCTTCTTCCAGCATACTACCCTTATTAAACTTCTCCTGGAATATGGCCTCTGTAAGGTGACATAACTGGGTCTTGAACAGAAATCCACTGCAGAAACAACCTCATTTGTTGAATTTTTCATTCATTTTTCTCATTTTATTTTTTTTTCTGCAGAAGCAACCTCAAGCCTTTGGGAGCTGAACAGCTGGGGTGATCGGGGAAGGAAAGGAGTCAGAAAGACTCGGGGATGTCTGTTCTTGCTGTCAAGACTAGACAATTCTCCCCACACAGAAATAGCAGTGCTATCACTCCATTTTCTTCCCCTGTTCAGGCCAAGTTACTCATGGCCTTTACAAGCAAGTGTGGGCAGCCAGGATGCTCTGAGGGCTTGCCTGGCAGCTCCTCAGACACTGCAGCCACTGAAACGTGGGCTCACTGCTTCAGGAGGTTTCTCAAGGGCCATAAACCCAGCGGGGGCTGATCTTAGATTTGTCACAGTGGTCACAAACCTTAATATCCTCTTAGCAGTCTGACTAGCAGCCATGAAACAGAACATATTTTAGCTGCTCCAAGCCTAGCAGTTATCAAATACTTATAGTTTATCTCACTGCCTGAACTCAGAAGAAGAGGTGGAGGTCTTGGATCTCTGGATGTTGTGTTTTGTGTCTCACTGATGTTTGGAAGCTTTGCCATTAATGTGAAAAGCAACAGCACTACATGCAGCTGGCTTTCCCTGGCTTCCGTACATAACGGATGTGAGTAGAGCTGGTATCAAAACCACCCACTCATCACCCTTGATTTAATTCTGATGCTTGAACCTTCTGAACACGTTAAATATCATTGGTGTAGTATTACCGAGACTTTCTGGTTTTGTACTTTGGTCTAATTAAAAAAAAGAAAAGAAAGCATCATGTACAAGAAAAAGCATCACTGGCAGCTGTGTATTAACCATTATGTAGGAGTGTGTGAAACTCAAGTATGAGAAACTTAAACTCTTTTTTCTTACTGTGTTTCTCAAATTTCTTTCAAGGTCTTTGATTACTCACATCATTTTTCATCCTACTTTTAAGTGAAAAGTTCAGTGAACAGTGGTCCTCTCTCAGTGAGACAGTTTGAAAAAGTAAGTCTCAGGCTTCTTCATTTCTTTGCAGTTATTTTACCTCTTTGCTTAGGAGGTTACTTCAATTTCTATGCCGATCTGTGCAATAGTATTCTGTTTGTAGGCTGAAATCTTTGTTTTGAATGCTGTGCAGCCCTTGTCTCTCAACCTTCCCCTGATTCTACACCAAAGAGGTAGAAATGGAAAAAAAAAATCTTGTCAAGACGCCTTACCTGAAGGCTAAAGCCCCATCCTTAACCTTGTATTTGTTCCCAAATAGCAGAACTTCTGGAGCTTTCTCTGCTCCACCACACTTAAGACCTGCTTTCACACACAGTCTGAAGTTAGCACTGTATTGACTTCCCTTCACTCAAGGGAATGACATAGTCTGAAATTCTTTCCTTTCTGTTTTGTTTACAAGGTAAATTATTCTATGCTGAGGCCAGGACAGAAAAGTGCATAGATGTGAGCCAGGAAAAAAAAAGCCAGTGAGACTTCAGTGAGGATTGGCAGATCCTTCCTTATATTTGCTTTACGCCACAACTGTCAGTGTTGCTCCCTGCTCCTGTACTTCGCCATGCTGCAAGTTGCAATGACCATGCCAGGCCCCTGTTCTAGTATTCAAAACATCCGAGTGTGATCAATACGATACTGGCCATATCAGCCCTGGCTTGTAGTCAAACAGCATAAGTCAAAATGCCTGCACACTGCTATGTTGTTGGAAGGAAGAGCAACTACCAGTGATGCACCTTAAGTACAGAAAAAAAGTTTATCATATTAAGCTGGCAGTAGTTTCCAGGTAGAGGCTGTAGTGAGCATAGCATTAGGATACCATGACCTCCCATGCATAAAGCCAGAGGCCAAAATAAACCAGTTTTCTGTGGGACTGAGGAGGAGGGACCCCAGCTTGCAGCCTTCAGGCAGGCTCCCAGGCGTTATGATCTACCCGTCCAGCTGTGGGACTGGAACGTGGCCAAAACATGTTTGCTGCTCCCTGTGCAGCTACTTCTCTTCACATTTTCTCCCGTGCTCCCACCACCCACTGCCTAGGAGGGGTTCAGCCACCCAGGGCCGGCCGGCCGAGGGCCTGCAGGCAGCGGGGAGGTGGCAGGCACCAGGGGCCCTTGGCTGGGCACCGGGCCCCAGGCCCCTTCCCTTCTGGGCCTTGCCACCACAGGCCCCTGCCCTTTGCTGTAACACCTGCTTCAAGCCATGCTTGCTTTCCAAAAATCCCTCTCCAACTCCTAGATGTCAGCCCTGGGATGTCATCTCCCATTTTTAACTAGCGGCTCACAGGTTGGGAAGGGACCTGCAGAGATCAATTGGCCCAGCTTTGTGCTTCCAGGCAGAACCGTGCTGCTCACAGTGTGCCTGCCTTGCCACATTTAGGTGCAGAAATAACTGAGGTGCTGAGCCTGTGCTGGGCAGAGGAGTTAAAAATGTCTGAGGGAAGAGGACTGCTCCAATTGTGTCAGTGGAGCAGGCCAGCACACCACTTTGTTCGCTGGATCTGTGTGTACAGCCTTTTTCATGGTCCCTGGATTGATCCCTACAGTGAATCTCCCATAGGGTTAGGGATGTTAGGGTTAGGGTTAGGGATAGCTCTGAGGAGAGATCTAATCTCTGCTGGGGCACATTTTCATTCATAAAGCTAACATGCAGTCTTTATTCAAGACACTGGGGAGTCCATGAAATTTTATTTTTTTAATCCTTTTATCCTGTAAAAGTTATATTAGAAAATGAGTCCACTAACAGTAAATGTAAGTTTACATTTTGTGTTAAATGTGAACTTACCAGTCAGGGATCTGCACTTCCACTGGGAAATACTCTGGGAGATGAGAAATCAGAAACAAGCATGAAAGTTACGGGTGTGAAATTTAGGTAAAATATCAACACACAGCGTCATTTCACTGCCCACTACGGCCTACAATCTCCAGGCAGCAGCTTTTTTTCTCCTATAACCAAAAATGTCACTTTCTCAGTGTTTCCCTTAGGATTCCATCTCTGGCTCATGTGGGCTGACCTTTGCAGCTGTAGATCTGATCCTAGAGGGATCTGAAGGACAGGTGAGTGGCTGAGCGTTAATCATGGGAGCTGGCCTTTCTAGCCTTTCGCCAGAGGAAGAGGCTATACTGAAACTATTATTTCAACTACTAATAAAAAGGGGAGTAAAATATGATCCCTTTAAGATAAAGCTACTATTGAAATTTTTGCAAAAACAAGGGCTCCCCTCAATGGCTTCTGCAGTATTTGATGTAAAAACGTGGGACCAAGTGGGGGAAAAAATATGGGAAGCGGCGTCTAGGGGGGATACTAATGCTGCTGAGGTGATGACTACGTGGCGGCTGGTGACTGAGACTTTTAGATCTGGAGGCAGAAAAGCAAGTACAGAACACTGCTACCCAGACAGTAACAGCAGCCAAACCGAGATCAGAGCCTGCAAGGTCCCCAGAGCGGTGCAAGTTGATAGACCTGGGGGATGATGACAAGGAAAAGGGCAGCGGACCTCCACTGCTGAGCCCCTCCCCACTGACCCCCTCAGCTCCCGCCCTGCCTACCCCTGATAACTCCTTCCAATGGGACCTAATTAAAGAATTAAGAAAGGCTGTGACTACACATGAATTACGCGCACCATTCACTCAGTCATTATTAGAATATGTTATGACTGGTCAGTTGTTGGTGCCTTACGATAGCCGCACTGATTTTAACGCCAAAACAAAAATTGCTCTGGGAGCAAAAATGGGAAGAGGGGTGATAATTAGCTGCCCTAGGTAACATGGAGTGGCAGCCTGGCGACCCCCTCCGGGGGGCCGGGATCCCACAGCTGATGGGGGACGGAGCCGTTCCTTGATCCGAGATTGCAGGCTCGGCTCAACGATGCCATCCTGCGGCAGCCCGCGTCTCTGGCCCTCCAGGCGATGCTGAAGCTGCCTGAAGTTGGAAAAGCCGAGCCATCATTTACCAGCATCAGGCAACACGTTACGGTGCCTGAGGTGCTGGAGCAAGCACGGTTATCCCATGCCTTTCTCCATCAATCCGCCAAAGTCTTGACAAAACAATTCACTGTATCGATCACTGACGCCAAATTGATTGTCCAAACATGACTGTTTGGACAATCAAACTGACTGTCAACAACATGATTCAACCCCGTCTTTAATGGTAAACCATAGAGGGCTACGGTCCTTACAGTTATGTCAGACCGATGTAACGCATATTCCAGAATTTGGTTGCTTGAAATATGTTATAATAATAATAACTAGTCACCATGTCCAGGCTCACTGCTGTGTTGCTTTCTCAGGGCGAGGCATCCCAAAGGAAATAAAAACTGACAGTGGCCCCGCGTATTGTAGTCTTCATCTTCTTTCCCTCTGTATCTCTCCATCCCCACAACTTCTAATCCTCTTTCACTCCAGGAGCAAGAGGTAGCAGGTGTATCACTGAGCGTGATACACCGCCTTATCACACCTAAAAAGAGTGCTGATTGCTTGGCAGGTGTGGGCTTGCTAAGTGGTCAGCCAGAAGGTCAAGTAGGTAATTTAATGCTGAAACGTTGCTTATCAGTAGGTTCATTCTGTCAATCTGCATCTTCTCCTGGTAGATGATTGTCTTCACAAATGTGTATAAGTCGTTTATTTTTCCCCTCAGATTTCTACCTTCAGAAAAATTTTAAGTTGCCAAATGAATTTGGTATGTTCTGGGGAGAATGGGTAGGCAGAGAGACAGGATGGTTACCCAGACTCTTCTCTTTAAGAAACCACATTGAAGACCAAAAGCAGGGATTCTATTGAATCTGTAGGCAGATACTATCAAGATTTTTTAATAAAACAACCACAGAAATTATCAAAACTGTGCCTGAATCTGAAATATTTCATTTAGTTTTAAATCTCATTTTTTTAAAGTGTAGTTGTCATTCATTTAAAAATCATCCCCTGAAACTAAAACCAGTATCTGTAGGAAAAGATTAATTACTTTCCATGCTTTAGGGAGGGAAGATAGTGGTGTCCATCACCACCAGTACCTTTAAAATTCTGTTCATCATTTAGGTGGCATGCTGACATTTTAAGCTGATATATGTATGTATAAAATAGATATCACATGACTCCACCGTAGTTCTCAGTGAGGATTTTGCTGGCTATTACCAAGATCAGAGACGAGCATGTGGTAAACCCAGATGAGCATGAAAGGAGTGTTCAGGAAAATGTCACAAGGTCCTTTATAAGGTAATGACGATTTCTTTCTGCTTCCCAATGTAAAACAGTTAAATACAAAATGAAATCTTAACAACAAATAATCTAAATTGTTTTTTTATGTCACTTCTTTTAAACCACTAACAAATTCAGCTGAGATCCCCACCAGCTAAGTAGCATTAAAAGCACCACTGGATTTAGGTGAAGAACTCTCAGATCAATCACAGATTATTCTTCTGTCCGATTTACTTGAAAACATTTCTTCTGCTGTGTGGTACCAGATGACAGCGTGCTATATAACCTTTAACTTGGATTTCTGAGTGCAGTATACTAAGAACCGACACCAAAACAATGCAAGTTAGTGTTTCAACAATTTAATTTGAGTTGTTTTACAAGTATAAAAGACGTACCAGATCTTGCATACTCATATACATGAACAATCCTTATTGAGCAATCCTTTGTGTGACTCAGGACTACTCAAGTGAGTTAAGTTTTTAACATTAGCCCTATACCCTGAACATATACACCTCTAACATTGAAAAGCCACAGTAAACTCGCAGCAAGACATCACTCTTTCATATACATACATCCTTCCTGGATAATACTACCCTTCTCTCTGTGCAGCCACAAGGTGTATTGATGATAATACTATCTAGACTGTCACTATCCTGGGAAAATCTGCATCTCCTGGCATTATAGCACACTTCAGAAACATAAACTTGTCCTCCAAAACACTGGTCTTGATGCAACAGAACATGTCTGTCTCTGACTCCCTCTCATTCCTTCTTTCTACCAACAATGACAGCACCGCAGGATCAAAACATACACAGAGCAGTGATATGGCTAGTCAGTCAATCTGCATGTGATGCTGCGGTGACACGAGGCACAGAAAAAGCAATGGCACTCACAGTTAATGAGGCACAGCAAAAAGAAGGACAGCAAAAGCAATGGCACTCATGTTGATGCTGTGTTTAAGCTGTATTTGGCTAGTATATGGCGAGTCTGTACCTAAGGCAAAACCATATGACAGTGATATAAGCCATACAATCTTATTTTCAAAACAGTGATGTAAATATTCAGGCTCCTATGCATGCACTTGAGAAGACTAGTATAAAAATAGGAAGTAATATGGTACATTCTCTAAAAATATGCATATACATTAGTCTTCATCGTTAGCATGTAAAGTTGAATGATACTCACTGCATATATATACTGGACTCCTGACTTGTTTACAGCTCCCTCCTGTTGACTTCCCTGTAGCATAAGCATTTAAATAGCTGAGGTTTGTGAAGTTTTCACTGTTTTCAAGTGGCAAAATCACAATCAGACCATCACTTCCAGTGTCCAAAGTCTGATTTAAAGACTTGAGAGCTCTATTCTTAGCTGTGAAGTACTTCTACACATGAAGTCAGTTTGTTCTCAAAGACTAAAATTTCTCACCTGGGTGCATATGTAGTTAGGCAATGACTTTAATTCCCTGATCATCAATGACCGTCCAACTATGAAGTTAGATATTCAGTTCTAAGAATACCTGAAAAATTGTCCCCATGTGCTGAACTATGAAGGTTTGGAATCAAGGGGTGACATTCTCACTTGCTCCTTTAACTCACCATTAAAAAACAAAACAAAACAAAACAGATACTCTTCTATATCTAGAAAAGTGAAAGGAAATATTATACTGTACCTTTACGTACAGAAGTACAGAGAAATACTGTATTGTCTTCAAGGAATCACTTCACTATTCTAATGCTACTCAGAGAGAAGTTAGAGATGTTGGTTTTGGGTGCCTTCCCCAAATATATCAAGTACATTCCCATAGTAAGCTCATGTCAAAAACTCCTATTACCACCCACCAATAATTTAATGAAATCTACATACACATACCACACACATACACACATCGAGCAAAATGAAAAACATAACTCCATTATAAAACTGAAGTAGGAAGACATTCATTCACAGTGCAGTAAAGGAAAAAATAAAAAATAAAAAATAAAAACAGCTTAGCTCTGTGCAGCGCTGCATGTGAAATCTCATTACAAATGACCTCAGACCCCAGCTTGAGACGTTTCCAATAAAATGGTGTTGATATCATCCCTACTGAAGAACTTCTCATCTTCCATAAAGTAGGATGGAAGTTAAGCTGAGGACACCAGAAGGTCCTTTGAATCATGAATTGCTTTTTTTCCACTAGCAGCCACAATGTGCCATGCACAGAAGAAACCCAAGGTGCTAAGCCATCAAAGTGCAAAAAGCTTTCACTTATTTTTTTAAAATGCAGTTGTTTTTGTGTATTTTACTAAATTGTACTTCTTACCTGTCCACCTGCTAAAGTTTTCTCAGTGATTTGCAAAACACAGAAACACTTTATTTGTGGTGGTGATATAGTGCATTGAAGAAAAAGTCAACAACTTCAATTTTCTTTCAGATTTCAAGCCTGTGGTAATTCTGAGGTATAAGAAGCCTGAGGTTTTTGCAGTACTGATATCACCTAGGCATAATACATCACAGCCTCAAAAAGGACTCAGTCTTTTCTGTCTCCACTTAACAAGTTACTGAGTTGCCTGCTTGGTGTACTATCAAACTGCTGACAAACACAGTAGCACTTGTCCCTACTAATTTTAGCCATCTAAAATGGAGACATGGTCAAGACTAGTGGTCAAGACATCTGGTTAACACTGAGAAATAGGTCTCCAGAAATGATCTGTGTCACCCAAGACAACATTTAAGATGCGCTCAATCACTCACTGGAGATGCTCCCTGGAGAGCACGTACCTGACTAGTTCATACAATCCACCCAGCTTCTAGATATTTCAAGTCATGTAAAGCGAACCCCACCCTAACAAAAATAATAAAGTATTATTTAAATGATTATATCAGAACAGTGAGCTATTCCAGAACATTACAATTAATGTGTTAAATTTAATTCCCTTACTAACAAGCAGCAAATATGAAGAGTAAAACAGTGCGTAAGCCAATAACCCCTCTGTCCATTCTCAGTTAACAGTCACATTTCAGTATTAGTGCTGTCTAATTAGCTGTTCCTTGGCAACCTAGGCTCCTGTGCAATGTAGAAGTCAAATTCTTATGCCACAGAGAGAAGAATTATTTTATGACATTGATTAGAGTGTAAAAAAAGTCTGCCATCTGAGGAAAGCAGACCACAGCTACAGTCAATATATAGTCAAAGACTATACTCTGTTTCCATGCTAGGGTGGCATGCCTTAATGACATCCTATCTGAAATAAAATGCATTTCCTTCCATTCTCAGATTTCCTGAGTAAGATGAGAATCAGGTTAGTTTTTGAAGGATGTCTTCTATAACGATTTCAAATTGAGCACATGATAATAAAACCATGTCAAAAAGAATCTGAAACAGAAATCTGCAAACAGTGACTGCTTTCTACATTCTACATAATCACGCACAGGTACACATACCCATAAACAACGTTTTCCATAAAGGTAGGCTTGTCAGTCTTCATGCAGTGTTCACCTGCAAGAAAGAAAACCCACCCACAAGACACAGTATCCAAGATGCCCAACATTCCCAGCAGGTGACCTGCAACCTTCCCAAGGCACATACTTGTTTCCAGTTACACTAGGCATTGGAAGAAACACTTTGATGACGATTCCCATTTTGAGAATCTGTTGTCTTGTTACTGCTCTGTGATCCATCAGCATTTTCAGATGATTTCAACTCTGCCTTGTCTGTTACTCTGGTGGACTTGGGAGGCTTGCAGACAAAGCAGAGGAACTTGAAACAGGAGAGCAAACCTTCGGTAATGCTGGATGAAAAGAGTTTTTTGCATGGGTGGCAGAACTGGTAGAACACCAACATGAAGAGGATAGCCATGCAGTAACCTATCAGGAGCTGCAAGACCAACAACGGGGCACAGACGTACAAGTAGATATCAGTTTTATAGATGTACCACATCAGCAGTAGGAATGCATTTTCAATGAATCGCAGCATATAGTATACAGTCAGACGATACCAGTTTTGGGACTTGTTAATTAAGTCAGGATCATTGAGCTTCACCTGCACTGCCGACCAGCAGAACATGTTAATGCCTGCGTACAAGAAGGTGAGAAGGCACAAGACAATGGTGGTGCCGACTCTGCTCAATGCCTTCTCTATGTTCTCGGGAAATGGGGACTTGCTTTGCCAGAAGAGAATCCACGGGTAAAAGAAAAAAACAAAGAAATTCACTAGCACAACAGGGAGAGTCCAGATCTGAAGGACTGAGCTGAAAAGGACCAGCACTATAACCCGTGTAGCAATCTCAAAGCTTCTCCACATGAATATGCAGAGGTAGGCAGCTGGTTTCACACTGATATCGTAATCATCATACTTAATCTTAATAGCCAGGATGTTGCAGCGTAAGGCGCCATATACAATTGATAGGAGAGAAAGGACCATAAAAACACCTACAAAGAGAAAAGACAAATCAGAACCATCATCTTCACAGAAGACATTGCATCAGAGTAACACAGAGATGCAACTAGTTGTTTTTACAGCACTTCTAGGGATTCCCAGCAGGGTATAAAACCAAAAAATCCATTCTTTGTATCCACTTCTGGGTTCTTACTCTAACCCTGTGTCCGTTTTGGTTCCCATTTGTTACATTTCCAAGTAGACAGGAAGAGAAAAGGTGGTGAAAAAAAAATCACAGGTGTCTCCCCACCACCTGCCCAGGACTCTTTGTGCACGTACTGTTCTTGGTGATTACACAGCTCAGTTGTAAGAGTATGCAAGTTGCTCTCAAGCAGTACTCTCACAGTACTCCCTAAGGCCCTGGGGTGCTACTCACCCTCTGTACAGATGAATGACTGAGCCACAGAACCGAAAACTTTGGAGTTAGTTGGGCACACAGACACCACAATGCTTTTGATGTTTTATGTTGAAGCAAATTGTCTAAGCTCACAGAAGGGTTATGGCATAGCGCTCAAAACTGAAAGTCAAAGCAGTTTAAAGCCAAAAGCATCTGTACCTTTTTTTTTTTTGGCCTTTGTAGACAAGTACTTGCTATATTGTGATTTCCTATACGTGTATTTTCCTTATGCAGCTATCTATATCATGCATTTAAAAACATTTATTTTAAAAATGTCTTAACATTTAGATCAACTCTCAGTATCTCCCATCTACCCAGTATCCCTCATGTGAAGGTTTCCCTCTATTAATGTTCTGTAGGAAGTAAAGCCAGGGACTGGCTATTACCTGGCTTCTACTCCAGAAGCAGCAGGGCCAAGCTTTCTAGCACTGCAGGAGGGACTCCTAACTTGTCACATGAAGGCTCACCCTGCTGTTTTGAGAGTCCTCAGGCACATTTAACAGCTGAGTCTCGCCAACAAGAATGAAGAGAAGCAGAGGACAGAATTCTGAACTGCCCCATAACAACCAAGATGCAGCAATGCACAACCTCTGGGCTACAGCACTCTGTCAACTGCCAGGTAGGAGATGTGCAAAATACAGTACTGAATTAACAAGTGCACTGAGATTGGGAACAAAGTAGGAGAAAGTTATGACCTAAGAAGGTATGGATGCATAAGAGCCCTGGACATCACAGAATAAACACAAAAGCATCCCAGTGTTCAAGAGTGCACTCTTTTGTCAACATCTGCATAGCTTCTACACAGTTTTTACCAACATGCTGAACAGCTGATACAGGGGGCTAATTTCAGGCATCCTCATGCAATACTTTGACTTTCAATCTGCAATCTGCATTGTTTCCATGCAAGGATCATTTCCAATTTAAGTCAGTTATGTACAGTAAAAAAAAAATATTATTTTTTTTTAAATTGTGTGAATGAAACTAACCAAGCTAACTGGTCATGCTACAGAGCATTATATTACCCCAGATAGAACCAGATAAACAGAGTTGGCAATTCTTGATTATGTCAATTACTTTTGTAATGCTCAGCTGCTAGTTCTTGCTGCAGCCTTCAATTAGTTCATGTCATTATCCAATACATGAACTGGATTACCTACTTTGCTATAGCTATTTAACCACGACTATCATGTTTTTCTAATTAAAGTTGCTAATTTCTGAGCATGACTTTGAAAGAAACAAGTGTATTTTAGGATCTCGAATAAGTTTCTCACAAGTTATTCTCAATCCTTTTAGCTAAACTCTTTCCCTCAAATGCTTCTGAATTAGTTTGGAAAAGAAATAATTTTTTATATCTAAATTTTGAATAGCTCAGTAAATTGGAATACTGAATTTTGAATACTCAGTAAATTGGAAAAAAAAATGCCATTTTATATTGTAATTTTGTACGTGCCAGTTTCATGTTGCATATATTATTTGAAAATAGTTATTTATTTTCTTGTTTCACATTTAAATTTTTATTGTGCATTTTTAAATATCTTTCCTACAGCCCTACACTTGATCTGAGTTTTTTTAAACATTAGAAAGCATTGCCTAAATAAGGATGAGCAAGTGAATAGAGTCAATAATACCAATGTGGTTCTTTCCAAAGTCACTCCTGTGGTTCCTTTCAAAACCTTTTCCTGTACTTTTGTGTTGAGTCTAGAACTGTGAGAGAACAGATAACTTCAATGAGCTAATTAAGCAAAATAATGCTCTCAGAATTTTAAAAATAAAAGCACACAGAGCAAGTAAACCACATACACAAACAAATCCACTGGAGAAAGAGTGCTTCTATCCTGGAACTCAAGCTTGTCTTCTGCTTCTGATTCCATTTTAGGGATTGTCAGTGAATCTCAACCTTGCCTTAATAACTCAAACCTTCAAAAGTAGCACTGCTCTACTGATAGGAACTACATTCCTGCTGACTCTGGTTTAGTACTGTAATCCAGTTCAGCCGCTTTTCCAAAAGCTCAGTACTGCCACCAGACTACCAGTTCAAACATCACTTCTAAGCCTGTGATAAAGATGGTTTTAATCAACCATATGCAGAAATGTGGAAAGGTGATGTCATTGTTGCTTTCCCTTATGAACTGTCATCTCTTTGCCTGCTCACGATAAAGGAAAGTATCTTCCTTTGGAGAGTTTAAAATCCTTTAGCAGTTCTTATGAAGGTGGCATTTCTGTTCTTCCTTCCTACTCATAGAAAACTATATTTTTCTCACAGATCAGAGTTGCACAGTCCCAGAATCATTCAGGTAGGCACTGTTTTACTTTTTGGTTTTATCACTACTACAGCTTTTAATGGAAAAAATGCATCCTTTTCAGCAGAATGATTTTATATTTAAATGGCTGGAAATCCCCTTTTTGGGATTATTTCATGTCTGTAAATGACTTTACTGCTGCTAATAGAAATTAGAAAAAAAAAAAAAAAAAACAACAAAAACAAACAAAAAAAACAACCTTTAAACTAACAAAGGAAACAGATCTTTCACATTTGATACTGCACACTGAGAACTGGCCTTTTTTCAACGATAGTAGGCCAAGTCATGCAATCCTTCTACCTCCAGCCAGCTATTTTTGTCATTTAAAATAACTCAGGTCTTTTCAGCACCTCCTGGCCTTGAGCTTCACCAGGTGGTATTACCTAAGCAAAGCAGTCCTGCTGGCTGCCCAGCACTGTGTAAGCAGTCATGAGCCGAGCCTGATGTCAGCCATACCTTAAATGCAATATTTCAGTTGGCTCTAAGACAATGCATGATAGTGACAGATGCGGTAGCGTTTAGTACAAAGTGAAGCCCAAATGCAAAAGAGAGATTGTATTGGATTTACATGGCAAGGTTTTGGTATCAGGCAGCTGCAGGGGTGGCCTCCATGAGAACGAGCCCAACAGCTGCCCCATGTCAGAAAAGGGCCAGCTCCAGCTGCCTCCAAAGGGACTCACCACTGGCTAGAGCCAGGCCAACAGATGATGTTGTCTGTGCCTCTGTGAGAACAGATATAAGAAAGGAAAAACAAACAAACAAACAAACAAACAAAAAAACCTGCTGCACCACAGCAGTTGGGAGACAGGAGTGAGACCCAGCCCTGCAGCCCCCCAGGTGAGTGCAGCAGGAGGGCAGGAGGTGCTCCAGGCAGGCAGCAGCAGTTCCCCTGTGGCCTGTGGAGAGGCCCCAGGTGGAGCAGGCTGTCCCCCTGCAGCCCATGGGTCCCACATGGAGCAGATCTCCACGCTGCAGCCCATGGAGGAGCCCCCGTGGAGCAGGTGGATGTGGCCTGGAGGCAGCTGCGGCCCATGGAGAACCCCCACAGGAGCAGGCCCCGGGCCCGGTGCTGCAGCCCGTGGAGGGCTTTATTCTGCTTTTGCAACTTTTTACTCCTCCACATCTTATGTTCTTGGCAGACAGTGAAATGATAATTTCAGACAATGACAGACACTGGCAAGAATCTGATCATCCAGAATAAAACATCCAGGGAAATCCATTAATGCCATGAACTACATAAGAAAGACACAACATGGCACGGCTCTGGTTAACAAAGGATTAGTGAAGGTTGCACATTGCTTTCAGAACTGTTTGATTCAATACTGGAAGTAGTGATGAGTTTCAAACAGATCTAAAAGGGACAAACCATATTACAGAATCATAGAATCTCTTAGGTTGGAAAAAACCTCCAAGATCACCAAGTCCAACCTAGCACTGCCAAGTCTCCTGAGTTGTCAGGAGTGGGAGGTGGCACGATGGTAAACAGTTTTAGATTCATGGATGTTAGTGTCTTTATTACCACTGACCAAGCAGAATCTACACAGAATAACAGACGAGGTAATGCAGGGATCCAGAAAAATATAGACTTATGAGAAGACAAGACAAAAACTATCAAAATCAGAAGACAAGAAGAAAAGCATAACAGCTATAACATGGACAGATGTACAGGAGTATGTCAAAAAACAGGGAAGTTGAAGACATCTGAAGTGTGGAAGAAGAGCTGGACTGGCTGCTGATTACTTTGATAATGCCATGAGATCCAAAAGGCTGAAGTCATGTCTCTGTACATAAGAATCCCCATGTACACATTACAAACAACAAGCTGATACTGTGCTATGTATCATTCCTGCTTGCTGTGTAGGCTGAATAACACTGCTGGACGAAAAGATATTACTGCTGAAATAAGCTGGCTGAAGAGCAGAGAAAGTCTCAAGACTTCAGAAGGTAAGATATAAACAGAAGTGGTTATGACTTAAGATACAAACAGATATTGTTACAACTTAATTTTTCATTGAATCATAAAATGGTTTGGGTTGGAAGGAACCTTAAAGATCATCTAATTCCAGTCCCCCTGCCATGGGCAGGGATGCCACCCACTAGATCAAGTTGCCCAGGGTCCCATGGTCTTGAACACCTCCAGGGATGGGGCATCCACAGCTTCTCTGGGCAACCTGTTCCAGTGCCTCACCACTCTCTGAGTGAAGAATTTACTCCTAACCTCTAATCATCTCCTCTTCTAGTTTAAAACCATTACTCCTTGTCCTATCATTAGCTACCAAATAAAAAAATTGCTCTCTATCTTTTTTATAAGCCCCTTTTACGTATTGAAAGGATGGTACTTTTCTTTTTCAGGCTGAATGTCGCTGACTCTCTCAGCCTTTCTTCATAGGAGAGGTGCTCCAGCCCTATGATCATCTTCATGGCCCTCCTCTGGACCCGCTCTAACAGCCCCACATTCCTCTGGTGCTGGGGGCCCCAGACCTGGATGCAGCACTCCAAGTGGGGCCTCACAAGGACAGAGCAGAGGGGCACAATCAACTTCCTCGTCCTGCTGGCCACTCATCTGTTGATGCAGCCCAGGACTCAGTTGGCCTTCTGGGGTGCAAGAATGCACTGCTGGCTCATTTTGAGCTTTTTGTCCATCAGAACTCTCAAGTTCCTCCCAAGACTTCATCAGAACTCGTTTTTCTGGTGAATGAGTTCTTATGGACACTGCCATTGTTCTAGATCATGGATTAAGAAACATATATATTTTTTTTTCTTTTGATTTTTGTATTTTACAGTTACACAAGACCTGCTAAACAGGTAGCTTCTGGGAGACATGAGGTAAATACTGCATTTTCTGGTAGTGTATTGCCCTCTACTTCTATTCATACATATTCACCGAACTCCCTGGTGAGCCACCTTAGCTCTGGCTGTTTAACTTCACTTCACCCAGAGAAGATCACTCATCAGTCTGTGAGAAAGGATTTACCTTGGCAGTGACAAATAAAAGTCAAAAGTAATAGGGAGTTACAAATCATTGTTAAATATGCATTTTTCTAATGATCTGGAACTCAGGGCTTCTCCTTGGCAATCATGACCAATAAGGTCAACACTAGTAATAGAAGAAATACAATAAAAAGGTGACCTTTCTTAAGCAAATGCCATATCCAGCAAAGTGCTTGGAAACTGTGCTAATTACACTGCTCAGCAAAGGATTCAACTGCTTTGTCCTTATCCCAAATCACAGATTTCATGGTTATTTGAAGAACCTACTTTATCTGTGAAGTACTCAAAAACTCAGGAGCAATATCTTTCAAGTATCAACTGCTACAACATTAAACAAGTACTTTTGTATGAAGACCTTCACCTGTTGTAATCTCTTTATGCTGACTAAACCTTCAGCATGCTTTTGTCTTCCACCCTGAGTTGTGAGGAAAACCCTGACATCACTATAAAGGCTTCTTCGAAACAAACAAACAAGGCCTTCAAAAGACCTGTGGCCTCTCACAGTGTCATAGCTACAAGAGCTGTTTTGTATTTCAGAGGAAATCCTGCGAGTTCTCACAGGTGCCAAAGCCCTTTCTTACATCAAAAAGCCAACTGTCCTACCACTACATGGTACAGGTCCTTTTTCTAGCAGCTCAGCCACCAAATCAAGATTGTATTTCCACACAGCTGGATCACATCATGGAGCAAGACGTGAAGAGTCCCATGGTAAGAGAGATGTGTCCTGGTAAGTCCATGTGGTGCAGCATTGCGTGGTGAAGACTTAACAGCTTGGGTCCAGAGATGAGATGGTAACATTTGCATACTAAGTTATGCCTTTTGATTCCAAATTCAGATGCTGGCACAAGTAAAAACAGTTTGTGGCCTCAGTTACACTGCATTCCTGAAAGTACACCTTTCACAATGTATTGTGACAAAATATGCTCTGCATTGTACCCCAAGGAATTTTCTAGAAAGTTTGCTCAGAAGCCAAAAGGGAACAGAGTTGCGTTTTTTTTCTCTTCATGAAGACAGCTCAGTCCCTTCAGCTGCCTCCCTCTCATGCCATAAGGGCCACTTATCAAATTAATACTTCTACAGCAACCAAAGTACACTAAAGGAAACGATAGTCTAAAACATGATGACATAAACTTTGTCAGCAACACCACTGTCAAAAGCTACCAGATGAAACCATCTGCAATGTGTACAGCTCTTGTCAGAGGCAGCTACTCCTGACTGCTGACCCTCCTCCTCTCCCTCCCACCAAATTACGGAGGCAATGACAACAGCTCTACCTACTTCTGGCGGCCGTTATCTCCTGCTGCAGGACACAGATGTAGAGCTGGAGCGTGAGCTGGGGGGCTGAGCCGAGGAATGCCTGGATCACAGAGGCCCTGCTGAATGCAGACCTGTGCGTACACAGCTTGCCTTCGGCCTGGCCCACTTCCTTCTCAACTTCTTCTGAGTACCCATCCTTGGGCATCTGCCTCTTCTTCGTGATGCTGACATACGGCTCTTCGACTCTGCCGGCATGGAAGTAAATGTAAAAGACCTCCACACACCTACAAGCAAATCAGTAAATAGAATAACAGGAACAAATGAAACCACAGCATAGGGATTCCCCTTGCTTAGCATTTTAAGCCATTTTGTACAAAGTCACTAAGTCTTTTGTTTACAGAGCAAACCTTGCACATTTTCTCCTCTTGGTACATTTGCAATAGGACAGATTTTGTCATGCAAAACATGACCTGTATATGATGTTAGGGCAAGAATCTGGGAGCACTATTGGGGCTGCTTGTAGGAATACTTGGACATAGTAGGAGGTTTAGCTTTTTCTATGAGCTGCCCATGTCCTCTGCTGTCCTGTTAAAGTTCTTAAACTACTCATCCACCACAAGTTTCCCAGCCTGGGACCCAAGCTGAAAGTGTTTCTTTAGATTCTTTCACCTTCTGGTGTTATCCATACACCTATGACCAATTGGACACAACAATAAATTCACTTCTCATACCTTTGTCTTAAGCAAAACATCTCAAGACATCAGAGAGAAGCTCAGAGTACAAGTGGGTGCATGCACCTCAAACACAGCTGGACTCAAACCCTTGCTTGCTCAAATCCTTGCTCAAACTCTTGCAAACCCTTGGTCCAGAAATACAAGTAATAAGCAATAGCAGCAACAATGAGAACAAGCAGTTTAGCACCTCACAACTCATGATATTAGCTTGTTTTAAAAAGATACAGAAACAGCACCTTTACTTCTTACATTTGCTTAGCTTTACTGAAACACTTAAGAAATATGAAACAATCTTGCAAAACTATTCTAAATTAAAAGGTGAATGTTTCCAGTTCCTGCAGTTATTCTTCATTTTAAAACATTGCTGATCCAAACCTTCTTGTTTATGTAGCTCTAACTTGCCACACATTAACTTCCAAGGAAAAAAAAGTTGTGCCAGTACATACATTTTTATTCACAAATTACATACTGTTTTAACATGTTTTATTACAAGTTGCCTCTACCCATGCACAGAGAATAACCTACACACTAGAGTGGGAATGGAAAAAGGATGAAGGGGTTGGCATCAGCAAGTGCTACAGCAATGAGGATAATACGGCTCCCTGAGTACTGAAGAAGATAATACAGCCTCAGGCAGACTTCTGAAAGGAAAGTTTCTAAAACTTCCTTCCAACAATCAATTTTAGACTAGCAAAATTTTTACAGACACTATTTTAAGAGAGTTCTGTGGTATGAAAGTGTCAAGGTTGGGCTTTGGTGTCAAGCAGGAACTGAAACACTTAAAGGAACAGTCAGCATTGTCTGAAAAGTAATAATGAGCAACTATCTGCTGAGGTATAGGCGAAGTTGCAAGATGAGGGGGAAGAGAGAGGAAAGAAATGCTCTATTTCTGTCACATTGCATAGGGTCCTGAAGATACAGAGCCTGCTGTGGAGAAGTCTATATATAGAAGAAACATAAAGGACAAACAGTATTGGCTACTGAAAACAAAAAATCCTCTGAAACCTAAACCCAATGTGGACAAAAACTATTTGGTCTTTTACGCCTAACGCTGCCACTTCAAAACCAAAACCAACTGATGCATGAGCTGCACCATTAATGGCGGATGGCTTCCACTGAAGTTCTCTCCCAGCTGAGAGATGACTTCAAGGGGAGTGGAAACCCCAATTGCATGGGCACCCTGTGACACCATGTCTAGTCACAGCTCTTCTCATGGTTGGACACGTATGTCATCGTCCTCTTTTGTAGGCATCATCCTCTGATGAGGACTCAAGCTGTCTTCTTTCTCTCCACAGTGCCCTACTGAGGTTCATCTCTACCCGGTTGCTTCCATAGATAACAGCTGCTGGAATGCAGTAATCTCTGAGTCTTTTCTAGGCCAAATTTGGCCAATGTGTTTTTGCAATATGCAAATAAGGCTTGTCTTCTATTTAAAACTATCTCACAATTACAAAGCATAGACCTATGCTTGCCTGAAACCATTAGCTTCCATTACATTTTAACCTTCCCCCACTCCTCCTCACTGCCCCCCTAAGAACTGCCAATTCAGTCTTTTGGAGGAAAGCCTTTAGAGGCCTTTTAGAGGAAAGTCCATAGGCTGATCAAAAAGCAGCACTGATAAAAATTAATTTCCCCCCCTAACTGGACCACTAGCAAGTTTCATCTGGTCTAGATGGAGAGCAGTTTCAGTATACTGTAGTACTATCCTTAACTCAGTAGGCTTCAGCTATCATGCTCACTAAAAATATCTGAAAGGCCTGGTGCGCTGGAGGCTCCATTCACAGTGGTGACTTTCTATTTTCCCTTTGTTAAACTTTTCAGTCCCTGCCAGCTTTGTTCCATGTGAAAGAATCCATACAGCCAAAAATAAAGTGTGAAGAATTAATAAAGCACAATAGCTTATGAAGCCAATAGAGATTTTGAAAACAACAAATTGATTTTATTCCAAAAGAGAGGTCCCAGAACATTTATGTCTTGCTTAGTATTCAGCACCATCTATTCATCCTGAGCTGAGGGCAAGTCTGAAGCTATTATGGAAAATGAGATCTCAGCATCAGCCTCTGAACTCTTGCAGTGTATGATTAAAAGCAGATATAGCTGAGGGACCCATCCAACAAATTTGAGGTAATCCCATAAAAGAGGTGATAAGATTCACAGTATTTGCTACAGTCAGAAGGCCTATTACCAACAAAAAGATGGGTTTTGGAGCAAGCATTTGATTTGTATTTATTAGGTAGGTATTAAGTAACGGGATATTGGCTCCACTTTTATGATGGGAAACGTTTCCAATACAGTGTGAAATGAATGTTCTGATCAGCACACCTTACAGCCAGAGGAGACTTTAACCAGTACAACAGAGCAATACAAATGATATCTGCAAGCACTCAGCCTTCATCAGTAGTGATGCCCATCTTCTCTCAAGTCCTAACCACCACATACAGAAGTGTCTCTGGAGATGATGCCCTCTGGGGCCCACAACAAATACATTCAAGACTGCACCTGGTGCCACAGCCCATGCAGCAGCTTCAAGCTCTTCTACAGAATGGGGAATTCTGGAGAAGACCCCACTGATCACCGTTCATCCCTGCTCTGGAGGAACAGGAGTGGGATGTCCCTAGTTCTGCAGAAACCATTTCCTGCAGTCCAGGGACATTTAGGGCCCTTCAGCAGATCCTCATACGGAGTCAAGCTGAAGGCGTTCAGCTTGGGAGTTACACAGGATGCAAGGCAATGCCAGCTGTAGTACAGGCTAAGGAGGAACTAAAATTAATTCAAAGGAAAAAAAAAATCAAGCCTACTCTACACACTGGAAGTTAAGAGGTGGGAAAGAGATGTGCTGCTTTCTCCTCTGCTGCCGAATCTTGGCAGAGGGATGAGCTGTACTTTTTCAAGGGTCCTGATGGTGCTTGCAAAGAGTGATTCAGCAGCAACACATACGTCTTCCACACTGTCTGTAGGAGGAATAATCCTATGCCTGTTAAGAGCAAGCACCTCATTCCCTCTTTTAATCATGGATGCGTGGGATTTAAATACAGGCAAAATAATGGTGCTATGGAGAAGGAGCAGGCCATGAAGACATGGAGCTTCCCACATCCAACAAGTGCTCCAAGAGCAAACATCCATTTGAGAAGCCTACCCAGATAAGTTCATTGCAAATGTACAAATGGATTTCTCTGATGCTTCCATTTTAGTAAATCCTTTCCTTTAGTGCAGCGTGCAAAAAGACTGATCACTCCTGCAGAACTACTTACCTGTGTCAGACAAAGACTTGTTCTCACTCATCTTTCTACCTTCCAACTGCACTGACTTTCTGTTCATCGCATCTTGGACACCTAACACATCTGCTCAAGAAAAAGGGAAAAATAAAAACAAAAACAAACCTGAAGAGGGTCTAAGGCATATTCATCCCATCTGGAAAAGAGGGAGATGCACCAACAGTTGTAAAGCTTAGAGCTAGCTGAATCTCCTAAAGTCACGTCTGCCAATGGTAGTCCTACAAGGAAAAGAGTTTTTTAGACCTGTGCTATTCTGAACTATAAAGCAGGTTGCTAGGAAAGAGAGACTACCCACAGGAGACAATACTTCTGCACAACAAGAATTATTAAACTAAAATGGTGAAGATAATGAGTATTATATTTCAAACTGTAGAATTAGGTGCCCAAAACATTAATAACTGATCATTTCAGCCTACCAGTGTCTTCTATTATTTTCTACAGCTCACAGATATCCAACATCAGCCATAACAACTGCTCCTCTGGCAGTTTGACTCAAACTTCCCACTACCTCTCCTTTGCTGCTGTCTGCATGGTACATACATGCACATCATTTTGTTTCTCCTTACGAAACAAAGCCTGGTCCCATTTAAAATCTATACTGTATATCCTTGTCCCAATAAAATCTGAGGAAAACAGTCATTGTTGTTCTTTATATGGGTCTATTTTATTTGCTTTCATTTTTTTTATTTTTTTTTTCACAAGAGAAATTCATCTGTCAGACAGAGACAACTCCATGACCACAAGTCCTTTCTGTTCAAGTCTGATGGAAATCTATGTTCCTTACTTCACCCCCCTCACCTACCAATAGCTTGCAGAATAGAAAAGGGTAAATAAGTTAACAGGGGTTTCTGTGGCACCCTTCACAAAGCGTTGTTTGTATTCTGAACAAATCCTTAGAGCAATACAACAGCAAAACCACATCCAGTGTTTTATTGGAATTGTTGAAGCATCTGAAATCTTGAGACGATCTTGGTGTTACAGGTGTTGTCTAAATGGACAGAGAACAAAGAGACAACCCTTGGTCCAGGAAAAGCCAGTAATAAGCCAAAAACATCCTTGTAGTCTTTTCCAAATAAAATAAAAACGTCTTCAATCTCTCATTGAACTTGGCTATCATATTAAGTCCTCTTTTGTGTCGTAATTTATTTTGCATGGTAAAATAATCTCATCTGAGAAAAAAAAAGAAAGAAAGAAAGAAAGAAAGAAAGAAAGAAAGAAAGAAAGAAAGAAAGAAAGAAAGAAAGAAAGAAAGAAAGAAAGAAAGAAAGAAAGAAAGAAAGAAAGAAAGAAAGAAAGAAAGAAAGAAAGAATAGAAAAGAAGACAAATATCCAAACATTTTCTAAGTATTCAGATGCATTACTGCATTCACGAGAAGTGGCACCAACATGAAATGCTGCAGGACTCCCTCCAGTGCCCAGAAACCTGCAGTCAACTTGTTCAGCCAACTACTGCAAGCTGTTTCTGTCAGCCTATGCCCTGGAGATCTGCGTCAGGCCATCAGAGGGGATTAGGAATTTTACTTCACAAACTGCTCTGACTTTATAGAGACACTGTTCTTAGGGGGAGAAGGAATTAAGAAGGGCAAGGCAAACAGTACTCTGCAGGTACAGCACGTGACTTCCGCAGGAAGAGGGGAACATCCTAATTTTAGTGCTTCCAGCGGCAGGCCAGTGAGTGCCTCAAGAACAGGTGGAGCGTGGGTGTCTGGGGAAAGCAGTAGCATGTAAGAAGGTTTCGTAAGAGAATATGTTTTTTTTTTTTTTTCTCCTGTAACACAGAGGATTCAAAATAGGCCGGACCATTTGGCTTGCTAAGCTAAATACACTCCCTCCCCTACCAAGATATTTCCATGCTGTTCTCCAAAATTCAGTCTGAATTTTTAGGGGAAAGAGAAAGGGGAGAAAAACTTCTTCATGATCATAAAGGTAGACATCTCCCACATGTACAAGTGCTGTCTGTCAACCAGTGTGCTGATGTTTGAGTATTTGACCAGAAGAAACACTAAATAACCTGTACCACGCCACAAACCCAAGAGAGATGGTTAAAAAGCTAATGCTGGCTTTCTTAAGGCCAGCCAAAGCAGACCGGCCTCTATTGAATTATACCAAGCTATTTAGGCTCCAGGCTATTTAGCATTTCCTTCTGATGTCGCAAGTGGACAAAGTCTGTGACAACTCTACTGCCTGTGTCCTGTTTGAACTAATTTGACTCAAAAAACATGCTGGGTGTGGAAGTGTGGAAGTTTGGGCCCACTAACGAGGGCCCAAAAACAGGAGGTGGCACGAGGCTTTGTGCTGTGGATGCAAATTCTTGGGGTCCAACAGAGCTCACTGTGCACCTCAGCTGGCTCTGTTGTGTGTCCTGGTGTGTATTTTGGATAGATGTGATAAAAGGCTATCATTCAGAACAGATCATCCAATTTTTACCCCTTTTCTTCAGTCCCTAGGAACTAGTGGGTATAAGTAGTTTTGAATAAAAAAAAAAAATAATTAAATACAAACAACAACCAACAACATAGGACAGAGACAGGGATAAACAAACCAGCAGCCCTTTTTAAAACAAGGAAGCAGATGACTAACAGCATCAGGGCTCTCTCATTCAAAGCATCAAGGTTTGCCTAAATGGATGGGACCAAATGGCCTCAGGGACATTGTTTCTCTTCATCTCTCAGCGGTAAAAGCCACAGTGAAGTGATAATACAGCAACATGTTTTGCCTTCTAGCTATCCCCCTCCACTTGTGTACATTCCAGTCCACACAAGACAGAAAGCCTACTGTGCAAATCGGGGAATGGTGACATATTTCATAGAATATCCTGAGTTGGAAGGGACCCTTAAGGATCATCAAGTCCAACTCTTGACACCGCACAGGTCTACCCAAAAGTTCAGACCATGTGACTAAGTGCACAGTCCAATCTCTTCTTAAATTCAGACAGGCTCGGTGCAGTGACCACTTCCCTGGGGAGCCTGTTCCAGTGTGCAACCACCCTCTCTATGAAGAACCCCTTTTCACGTGCTGAAACACTTCAGCATTCCCAGCTTTGATCTACACTTGCTGGGAATTGACATATTTCCTCTCCGGCCACACAACAGTGTTTAGTGGCAGCAGAAAGGAAGGCAAGGCAGAGTAACACAAAGTCCCTCACTGTCCATCTCAGACCAATCACTTCACCTTCCCAGCCTCCTGTAATGTATCCTACGAGTAGATACATTTCTCTGAATCCAAAGAGGTCGTTTTCTCTGAAACTTCCTCTTAATTTGTAGAGTCCCTGCAGCCTTTAGCCGGAAGCAAGTTTTTCAGGTGGCATGTGTACCACCCTCTTTTAATTAATAGTTAATTTTGGTTATCCCGGGTCTAGAGAGAGGCTGATATGCATCTCCTCATGCTGCCTACATGATGCCATAGGAACTGTGGCACAGGCACACCACAACACCTCCAGACTCTCTGGAAATGCTGAGGTAGCAGATATTGGAGGAGGTGCACACACACTCACTGCAGCCTTCATGGACACGAGAGGGCTCCCAGATGCCCACTGGTTTCACAGCAACGACTGTGCCTGGGAGTTCACTGACAGCAGACAACATTTCCTATGTGACATGTGGCTCGTGTTGTAAGCAGATAAGCTTACTGTTGAGGTGGAAAAGAAAAGTGAAATCACACTTGGTTAAGGTTGAAGCAGAAGTCTAGTGTCTCTTCCAGAAAATTAGAAAGAAAAATTACTAATTTGTTGTTGCTGTTTATGTCCTTTGTTGCTTCTTTACATCTTGCAGCTTGACATGACAGTCATTTCGGGTTTGTCCTCAAGCAACTGTTTTAGAAGGGCAAAAATCCTGAACAGCCTCTTTATTTTGGGAGTTCTCTTTGGGTCCACTCCTGTTTTCCAAAAAAAAAAAAAAAAAAAGAAAGAAAAAAAGTGCGCAGGTATTTTGTTCTTCACTTTTAGAAAGCCAGAGCTCTTCAAGAACCTGTTATGCTGTAACACAGTAATTGTTATGCCATAACAGGGTAATCTCTTTAAAGTATTAACAAAAACAAACCAGCCAGAGTTACACAGGAATTCAATGTTGTTGTTTTTGTGAAGTGTAAGACGTTCTGAAACACCCAAGCTGTTCACCCTCCTTAGTTTGAGCTTAACAAACCTTCCATTTCCACACTGTCTGGGAGTTTCAGAAAGCCGGGGACACTTCTCCTAACCTCCGCTCCACAGATACCACATTTATTCCTCTTGCCTTTTAAAGATTTGACCGTAAATTGGAAACGAAAATAAATTCCCAAATAAACTGGAAACGAAAGCCCCCAGCCAGTGTTTTGTCGTGGGTTTTCACTGACTCTCTAACTTTTCACCTGCCTTTTTAATTTTTTTTCTCCCTAAGGACGTTTTCCATCAGCTGGACTCGGGCTGTACAATTCTGCGAGGCTGATTTGGGGCAGCTCGGTGCCCGAAAGAAGCGACGGGTTAGGGCGTTACCGGCATTTCCAACAGGCTGGGACCCTTGCTGTCCTTTTAAAGGGGAGACTGAGCAAGCCTTCCCTCCTCTCGTGGAAGTAACCTTGGGGTGTGCGGCCGGGGGATGAAGCGGCAGCGAGCAAACCCAGCCATCGCACGGCTTATCTCGCATCCACCCGGGCAGAAGCTACGCGCAGAAAGCACCGAGAAAAAAAAAAAAAAAAAAGCCAGAAGGACGGAAAGCAGCACCAAAACACGCACCGTAGGGGCTCTGCAGAACCACAGCACCCCTGCCCCCAGCCCCCGGGCAGGGTCTGCGCCTCCTCCCCCTCGGCAGCTCGCAGGCACCGCCGCCCTCCGCCTCCCCCCCCCCCCGGGGGCTCCCCTCCGCCCCCCGAGCAGCATCCGGGGGGGTCCCTCACCGACCTGACGAGGGGCCCGAGCTGCAGGAGGTGCAGCAGCAGCACCAGCGGCCGGTCTCGGCTCACGTCGCGGTGGATGAAGACCAGGCTGAGCTGCACCAGCGCGCAGGGCAGCAGGGCGAAGAGCAGCGTCAGCCACTGCCACATGCGGTCCCCCGCCGCCCGGTACGCGCCGCTCAGGCACAGCGCGGCCGCCGTCTCGGCCACGAAGAGGACGACGGAGACCAGGACGGAGCCGGGGAATTTCATCGCCGCTGCCGCAGCCCCGGCCCGACAGACGGAACGACAGACGGACCGACACACGGACAGACCGAGCGCCGCGCCGCGCAGCGCGGCCGCCGCCCGCCAGAGGGGGCCGCAGGGCCCGCGGCCGCCGCCCGCCGCCGCCGCTCCCCCCTCAGCCTCGCCTCGCCTCGCCTCGCACGCCCCCGTGGCCACAAAACCCAAAGGGTGGACCGCGAGAGCCGCTGTAGGGCGGTGTGGGCATCCCACAGCCTCTCCCCTTTCTCCTCAGGGGCCAGGAGACGCGCCCTGCCCCGTCCCTCTCCCCTGCGGAGCTCGGGATGTGGCTCAGGGCACCCTGCGGGTGGCAAAAGGTGCAGCCCAAGGGGCAAGGCTGGCCTTTGCAGGCTCTCCGTAACACCCCTGGAGAGATGAAACACCCTGATTATAAGCACCTGGCAAGATGCAAAGCTCCTGGGGCATCAGCTGGGGCCTGCACACAGTGCCAAGGAGGGGTCTTCAGTCACTGCCTCTCGGCGCAGACCCTGGGTCCGTGCCCACCCGGCTCTCCCCTCCGAGCTCCTCTTTCTCCTGGCTGGTGCCCAGGTAGCTGCGGACCTGCCCGAGCAGGTCAGCTAGGAACCAGAGACCGATTAGGAGTATGCAGGAAAGGCGAAGATGTGGAGTCTGGGATCCTTTTAGCCGATTAATGGCACAGCACTAATAGCTACTTCTGCATGCCAGCTAATAGGCTGTAATGCTACTTAGGTTGTCACCAGATTTATAGAAAAAGTGCCAATAACACTTTGTTTGGGATGTTTCTTGACTGCCTTTGCACTGGCAAATCGCAAGTCCCATCACTCACCTCTAGCTGAACTCAGCTGCTGATGCCAAAGGCGAAAAACCTTGCTCTGGGTGTACCTAGGTCATTGTGGTGCTCTGGTACTGGGAACGGAGGGCTTTTACTGGGATCGAAGCAGGGTGAAAATAAACAGCCGAGCGGCAAGCTTCAACCCACAGCCCGAAAGCAGCCTGTTACCTCCTGTGACACGACCATGGGACAGTTCTGCTGAATCACTAAATGCAGCCTGGATGTTTTGCCTAATTCTCACATAAATGATTCTTACCTCCGATAACACAGTACTGCTGAGAGCCCTGGAGCACTGAGTCACTGCTCCAGAAAGGAAAGCTGCCGGTGATAAAGAAGATAAGGAATTGACCGGAAGATGAGGAATTAACCAATGCAACACAAAATCATACTGTTCAAAGTTGGGCTTTTATTTAAGGCAAAATATAGTCACAGCTTTAATATTAATATTACGGATATACACAGTTTGTTCTGCCACTATGAAGCTTAGTATTATCTCTGCTTTTAAAAAGCTATAAAATCTATTTTCTATCATAATCTACAATACAAAACTAATACAATAAACACATTCTGAAAGATCACAGTGTTTAAAACATCAGAGGAGCAGGGGTCCTGCTTTTAAACAATAAGGTGCATTTCTAAAGAATCAAATCACCTTGATTCTAAAGGGACTGTACCACAGTATGGCTGCGGATGGCTATTACACTGAGACATGAATCTAGGGTGCAGCATGTACTCAAATCAACACTATGTTGGAATATACTGAATATTCAAGTGTCGCCAACACAAACTAGATGTGAAATTACACCCTTTATTGGTAATGCCATTTAGTTCCCTGCACTTCTAATTGGTATTGGCTTTCATGCATATTGCAGACATACTGAGTAAAAATGGGTGTAAAACTGCTATCAGATAGGGCCCTGCATATACAAGCACGTGTGCTTTCCTCTTACTATACGAACAAGTCTCGCTAATACCAGGGACTCATGTTGAGAAAAGCCTGCAGGTTTGGGGCCCAGAATGATGCAGTTCTGCCCCAGTTTCACACATGTGGAAGGCCCTAACCTCGCATGCCTGAAATCAAGTGGAGGTTCACCATTGACATCAGTGGGTCGCATATCTGGCCCTGAAAATGAGAGCATGAGGCCAAAACATTAGCAAAATTAAGACTGTTAGAAATATTTCTTCTCTTGTGTGGTCATGGTAATGAAGACAAAAACAGAGCCCAGTTTCAGGTCAGACAGCCTTTCTCTTCGGTATGAAGTAGGACTAAATATTTTAATAAGATTTGTTTTCTGTTCATTACAGGTTATCATTAACTTCGGGACTTCTGGTAGTATGTGTGAATCATAGAATCACAGAATGGTTTGGGTTGGAAGGGACCTCTCAAAGATCATCTAATTCCAACCCCCCTGTCACAGGCAGGGACGCCGCCCATCACACCAGGTTGCTCAAAGCCCCATCTAACCTGGGTATGTATAATCATGCAGTATTGTTGATGAATATCACTGCATTACAAAAGATCTTTAATTCAAATATCATTTTACCACTAGTCAAAATAAGTTTTTAATGATTTTTCTGCCATTTTAGTTGGTATTGCTGTGCTTGACCTAAATGCCTTCACCTTCTTATTGGGTCATGCACTGAACAAAGCCAAGGGACCCTCCTTGTACATGTTAAACATAAATGCAGCTGTATGTATTTTCAAACAGATTGCTGTTTATGGATTTTTTTTTTTCCAGAGCGTGATGTAAAGTTTTAAATATACAGAGTACAGGACTAACAGTGACATCATTGACAGTATAAATATATCAGAAAATTTATTAGGTGAAAGACAGGTCAAAAAGTTTGTGCATGTTGGCTTTTTTTTTTTTTTTCCACTTTGTAAGCATTGATAATGTACATCCCTTTTATTCCATTGAATGATAGGGGTAGGCAGTAGGTTCAGCTACAGGCAATTCCTTCTTAGGCAGATTTTTTTTTTCAGCATATGATGACTTTGCTGTAATGACAATGAAGAGTTCAAGGCAGCTATAACCTGTTAAGTACAGCGCATACTGTACCACAGCAAACTGTGCTATTCTCTTGGAAAATGCCTATTCACATCCCTAAACTGCTGTATTGTTTTGTGGACCCTGAGCATTTTTGGGTTATGGCTTTGAAGTATGTCGTTCTGTCAGTAATGTGATTTTTGGTCATTTTCTTATTTATTTTTAATTTAGTTTTATGCCACTTCCTACTTAATCCAGGACATCTCTGTATAAACTCAGAGCAATCTGAACTGTGCTGTTAGACAACAATTGCTCATCTGTGTAATTTTTCACAGGAAGATTACTCTTTAAAATCCACAGAGCAATTCTTACTCCTGATATACTAGTTTTTCCTACAGATTAGAATATGCACTCATGTCAGTGAATATTCAATGTATGTAGGAAATTACTGCACCTGAGATTTATTTGGCAGACCTTTGAGATACACTCTGTCCATGGATCTTATAGGACAAAATTTCAAGACAAATAACAAGGTTATATTCTCCAAATGCATGCATATGCTAAAATAGTTTGCTGTTTGCATAAAACATGCAATATCTTGGCAGATGCTATAACTGTATATGCAGGTAATGCTTCACGTACAAAAAACTGATTGATCATGAAAGTTTCCATTTGTACACATTGCACCTGTACATTTTTGAATATATCAGATACCTACATTTATTTTTTTCCATGGGATTAAAAAAAAAAATCAATATTCTTATCATGCTCACTTAATGTCCATGTAATTATTATTAGAACACCAGAATGGCATTACTTAATTTCACCGAGTGGCGATGAGGGTGACCACTTCACTTGCATTCACTTGTGCATAATTCCTAGAACTATTTCAATGCGTATTTGGGGAGGTTTGGTTACTTCCCTTATTTCTGATTGAGATCCTAGATAAGTGAATGTGTTGCCTAGAGTCTTCCCCTTTTGTTTTATTCAATGATGCATATCATCGGTTACAGTTATTTTACAATATAATGATTTTTCCTTAGCAGTTGGGAAACGGCCAAGCCAGTGAGAAGAGACCACCTGGGAGCGTAAAAATAATGTAATGCAAATAAGTGGGACACTCCTCTTCGGCAAAAATCAATTGATCTTATTTTCAAGAATAAAAGACTCAGGCTGCTTGTTTAGCCTTCCAAAGTTAGAAGTCTTTCCATAGACTGGGAAAGAAAGGCAGGGAAACCGAAGGAAACAACGGTGCAAACAAAGCAGATATTGAAAGCAGTGGCACAAAACAAAATCATTATCATGCTGGGAAGTTGTAAATGGCAGGGAAAAAATAAGATGTATGCATTAGAACCGTACTGTTGCTGAAACGGATTGCATGTGGCTCTATGAATGCTAAAATCACTAAATCTTGACATCACAGATCTAGTTTCCCTCAAAATTATTCTATGACAGTAATCTATGGATGACCTACCAAAAGTCATGGATAGCATATAGGTCCTTAAACTGCTTTGTAATCTACAGCTTTACTCACAAACAGCACCACACAAACACAGGTACATCACAAATAAGCACCAATACCAGCACAATGCATCCCTTTTGCTTTAACTGCATAATCAGAAATACTATTATATCACTTAAATTCCTATTGCCTACGCTTTAGAAACTTAACACAGTAGAGAGACTAATGTGCAAACGTGACTCAGTAACTTGTGTTTTACACTTTTAAAAGAGGCTTCTCAAGTTTCTGGTATCACAGTCTTTTGTCACAGCACCATGGCACAATCTGTTCAGAAATACAATTTTTCAGTCTATTAGGCTTGGTTTTGGAGCAGGAGGAAGCAGCATCCAGCTGAGAATATCTAGCGAAGGACACGTAATTGATTTCCCCGAGCAGTACGAAAGGAACACAAAGGACCTTATTTTTTATCACACCAAAAAGTGCCAATGGCTCTACTCAGGTTGCTGTCCTGTCCATGCATTTAATGCAGCAAATAAAGGTTGCAACAGCGTATGTGTAAAATAGTAAGAAGGAAAAATAGCAATTAGAAGATTAAAAGTAGGAAAAAGATGGAAAACCGTGCCCATTTAACGAGTGGTATTTTCAGAAGAGCCCTAGGGTATACTGACATTGTTCAGAAGCTGTGACTACAGCACATACCTTAGTCCAATTGGATCAGATAAGAAAAGCAACAAAGCTGTAAGAATGAGCTCAAACTGACACATACAATGTGACAGATGAGTCACTATATTCCAAGATTTTACACAATGTATCCTATGAGACTGGATGTCTATGTTACTATGATTTATATCTTAAGTTTCAGTAAACACACTTTGTGTGTTGCTCTTGCTGACCTCAGTGCTGAACTTGTGGAACTTGCAGAGAGAGAGTTGGGACCCAGATTTTGAAAACTGGGTGGTTGCATGGGTTTTCTCATTGCTGAACCTATCAAGTGAGCATTTTCTTTCTCATAGGATTAGTATCAAATGACGCCAAACACATGGCTTCATATACGGAGAAGGGTAGCAGACACAGAAGATTGTTTTGCTGGTGCTGCAGAAAGCAACACAGAGCAGATCTGAACCTTCTCTGAACCTAAATCAGAAGAAATGAAATCTACAAAGAGACGTGGAGTGGGGTGGAGGGAGCACCAGAAAACTGGCACTGAATTCTTCAGATAGATTTATATTATTATAGAGTTATATTAAAAGATAAACGACGGTTGGAAGTTAAGCATAATAAAATGGAGCGATTTTATCTACTACTGTTATGGTAAATTTTAACATATATGTGGTGTAAGTTACAATATCAGCATTCATGACCTGGTCAGGGTCTAAATTACTGTATTTATTTATTGTGCTCTAGACTTACTGAGGTTTTGGCAAAGGTTTTCTCCTTCAAGCATCTCCTGACAAATAAACAAGTAAATGGATGCAATTAAATGCTTTGGCATAGTGAAAATTAAAAAGTGCGTGCTGGGAAAATCGAAAGGTCATGATTACTCTGTTGATAGGCTGTAGATTCTGTTAAGGCTTAATTTTTGTTTGTTTCTTTGTTTTTTTGTTTGTTTGTTTTTTTGTTTGTTTGTTTGTTTTTTTTTTTGACTGTGTAGTTATCCGAACACTAGGCTTCTTTTTTTTGTTTTGTTTTGTTTTGTTTTTGTTTGCATCTATAAATAAAATAATTGGCAATAAATGTAGGACTGCAACATCCTGTGCCAGATTGTGGCAGAACCCATTCATTTCTCTGTCTTACGATAAGATAAAATGCAATTGCAATAGCTGTCTAAATGCTCTGACACAAATGTTACTTACATATTTTAGCTGAGTGCCACTACCCTGCAATACAAATTGAGACTGACATGTTGTTGGTCATGGGGAAAAAGTGGATAGGCCACATGTTACCTTCCTTCATCTTTTGTGTAAAAAGGTTCCGGTTATGACATAGATTAGCCCTATGCATTACAGTAAGCAACTAGAGGAGAATCCCAATGGGCTCAGGATCTGCACTGCTGAAAATGGACTTTGCTCTGATTTAACACGTGCTTTTAAACATGGCTGGGCAGAGCACATGGACTTCCCATTCGCTTCTGGATTTAGCCTCACATGTGTACCTCCCTATGAAATACCTGTACACAAAAATCGTACACATCTCACTGCTCACAGTGATGAAGTGACAGTAATGGCTTCCTTAAAAGACCCTTTATCCCACAAATGAACCTGTAACAAATGTATATTGAATTTTAACATTCATCAGAAGATTCCCAAATACTTGCTAAGCAGATACAGAACTACATTGCTTTAGTCACCAGTGAAATATGGTTACTTCTATGTTTAAATAATTAATTAGAGCTGCACAGTGCAAGACAAATAGCAGAAATCCTAATCTGCAGCTCATAATAATGCAAGTCATCAAGTTAAAGTAAGAGTGGCATGAGGAGAAATAGGATTACAATATTAAAATATGGAAGGATTGCAAGACTTGGCTCCATGTTATAGCCTGACCAAGGCCCACTGAAATCAAATGGGAACTTTAATCCATTAGGCATAAAAAATAAAGAAATTGTAATCTCCCTCAGTTAAGAATGCAGGAAGAGAGACTGCAATGCTTGGCAGTGCACAGAGGTCAGGTTTTTTTCACTCTAACTGCAATCTTTGACGTACTGGCCTTCCCAATCTATCTGTAAAAGGTAATTGCATTACATTACTCCCATATAAATAAAAATAAATAAAAATATTTAAATATAGGTATTGGCTTTATATTTTTAGTACAAATTACATATTTTCTTTAGTTTTTAATTATCATAATATATATATATATAATACGTATAAAACTGGATATAATTGCAACCTTAAGTGCTAGTGCAACTAGTGATGAGGAAATCATTATTTCTATAGAAATAATTTGGGCATATATATTATTTTGTTAACCAGGAGAAGAAGCAGTTTTGTTATCATTTTTTTCTTAAGCTCAGTATGCCACCAAGGGTTTGCATTCAGTTTGCAGGGTCTTTAATGAACAATTCATCAGGAAAATAGTTTTTCCATTCTCTGAACTATGTATGTCTTAGTTCAGAAGTGCTGCTATAGGTAATTAATTTTTAAAGGGAGCTTTTGTATCACTGAACAATACCTATCTAGCAATGCTGTACTGTGAAGAAAGCACCTGCCTGCTGTGTCTTTGCTATTTAACTTCTTCATCCAAGTCTCCTCCACAGCTCCACTCATCTTCCCTGTGAAAGGGAAGGTATTGATGAGTGACACTGTTACGATAAATCAGTAAAGGAGACCAGCTCCCTACCACAGACTGTGCTCTGAAAAGAATGGTCAAATTCAGTCCTGATTTACATACGTGAGACCCCACTCACTGAAATGAACCTGTGAAACTGCCAGCTGAATATGTATCTACCTACATAACTGTCATTATATGCATATGATGATGAAAGAGCTCCAAGATACAGGTATTTCTAATACATGGTACTAGTACTAGTAAACGTGGTTTAGGTAGAAAATCCCAGATTTTGCCTTTGTGCAGTGTAGTGACATATCTACAACACCCTCCCCTTTAAGTGCATCGCTGCAGAAGACTTGCTTTTACAGGTCTCTTTTTAAAACATTCTGGATGTATCATTTTCTTCCTTCTTTGCATGTCCCTGTAATTCTACCTTGCCTTTTCTATTCTCCTGTGTAACCACCAAATTAAAAGTTTGATAATGCCCCTTTCTCTCTCACTTGAATAATTAGATTTTACTTCTTATTACAGATAAATATCTACCCCTGTCAGATTTAATCACTTCCCCCCTTTTTTACTGACCCATTTTTTTGGTCACATGCTTCCCTCCCAAAGCCCCAGAGTATTTACTCCTTCACCTCACTCCCAGCTACATTAAGGCTAGCATTAGTGGTACCACTGGCTTGTTTTTTGTAAATAACCTCTCCCGACACATAAGTGAAACTGCAGGTGCCCTCTCCCGTTGCCAATGGGATGCGGCCCAGAAGAATGCTATTCTCTAGACAAAGACACTGAAGAGAGGAAACTCAGCTTGGTTGGGTTGCAGCAAGTCAGTCAGGAAACACACGGTTCCCGAGAAGCCTTCATACAGACTATATACACTTTCTAATGCCCGGGAACCAGCCTTAAATTCTTCTGTAAATAAGAACTCTGCAAACCTAAGAAACAGAAAAAAAAAAAAAAAAGAATTTGTTATTATCTGATGTCCCTGTATATCTACTTCCTTGTTGCTTGAAAGCATCTTTTTAATAACGTTCAACAATTAAAAGAGTTAAAGGTTCATTATTTAACCTTATCTTCAATTTTTACACTATTTGATTTCCACTCTAAAGTCAGGTCCATTAGATTTAGAAGACTCAAGCCTTTGTGATCTCTGCATGTGCTGTGCTTCAAGAGCTACGCATTGTTCTGATTTCTATAATGCATATCATTAAGCAAATACTTTTTCATAACTTTTATATCAATTGTTTTTTCAGCAAGACTCAAGCAATGTTTTGAATTGACACAACAAATTATATAAAGCTGAAATAACAAACTTCCAAGAACATGGCTGAAAATAAGTCACCATAATTACCAAACTACTTCTTCTCATTAAAGAAAACAGTAACAAACACAGAATACTATCATATTAAATGTATAATAAATGACAGAAATATAAATCAAAGATAACTGCAGCACTATGACAATTCTCATTGGGCTGTACTTTCCTGCATCAACCAAATTGGGCTTGACTCCACCAGGTAAGCTGGATAGGACAATGTCAACCTGGGCATGGTGAATTAAAAAAAATGTGAAATACACAGCACAGCAGGTCCTGCACTTCTTTTCCACTTTTAGTGGTCAGGGGTAGCGTGAAATGCTCTGAAAACCAGAACAAATCGATACGATGAACAGTATCTCATCCCACCCTGCTTCTGGCCTTGTGTAGGCAGCTTGGCAGGTTTCTGACCTCAGGTCAGGCCGAGGCATGGCCGTTGGCCATTCCTTCTTTTCCCTCTGCAGGGATCCCAGGCTGTGGGCAGGGAGGAAGGCAAGTCAATGCCGCCACCTCTGCCGCCACAGGCAGGCTGGCCTGCACCCCAACACTCCCATTACACCAGAAGGCTGGGATCACAGCCCCCGAGCAGCTTTAAATTCAGTTTCTGAGGCTGTCTGGTGCTACCCTCAATCCAGACGGGTAGTAATGCTAACCTTTGTGCCCTGTAGATGTATTTTGAGTTCCCAGTCAGCCTATAGAGCAGCAGGAACACGTAAGCACTACCAGCCACTCCATGGCATATGCCAGGTCCCTTCTTCAGCAAGCCTTTCTGCCAGGTTAGCTCTCCGCAGCGGATACAAGTGTCCAGATACTGAGGCTTCTTGGAAACCAGATAAGCTTTGGCAAACAGATACGCAATGCCTAGGGAAACAGCAATAAAAATAGTCTTGTTATAAGTAGTACACATAATAAAACAAAGATAATGCATGAATACATAGTAGATTGACATGCAATACACCTACAGTCTCATGCTCTACACATGTCAATGTTACATGTCTACATGTGGAGGGGAGAGTATCTGCTACACTAAAAAGCGCAAGGTAAGATGCACTTTTGCACTCTGTGTGAAAACACCGCTTTCAGTCTTTTCAATGCTGTACTTAATTTCAGGTTTCCCTCTAATATTCCCAGTCCTTCAGCAATTTAAAACAGTAGCCACATTTCTGCCTTGAAAACAATAAACTCTTACCACTGCCTTCTACCCGTTTCAAATCCCCATTCACCTCACCAGTTTACAGTGAGAGAAAAACAAGGATGGGCAGGACAGGCAATATAGTTTCCTGCATTAGCAACAGATACAATTTTTCTTGAGAAAAGAATCTTGTCTTCTCTTCAGTAGGGCACACATTGCTTTACTCTGGTTATGAACAGTTATAAATACAGACTTTTGTAACAAAATGCTGTTCAGCTTATTTTTTGAGGGATTCAAATAATTTAATCATAATCTTCAACAGAGCATTGCACTGTTTAGTTCATGGTAACCCTAAAAGAATGCATATGACATATAACCAAATCAAGCACCTGAGGGTATATTTTGAATAGCTCATTTGTGGTCTGAATATGAAATACACTGAAGTAGCTAAAAAGCTACTTGTAAGCTATATGTGCTTTATTACGCACGAAGAGTGATGGGATGAAGGAATTTCTGGGAAAGAACAATAGCAATTAATGAATTTAGATGTCTCTAAATGTTTGCTAAATTAACTTCTTTATGCCCTTTGGGATTTTGTCACCTTGTCTGAGTCTCACTACGTTTCCACTAATAGGTAAACCCACATCAAAGTCTCAAGAAACTGAAACGAAGAGGGCATTTCCTCACAGATTTCATCACTAGGCCAGCCACACCATAGAAGTCACTTTTTCCCTCTTAAAAAAACCCGTTTTCATTAGAGTGCAAGAGCAAGAACCTTGTTCCTTAATCATACCAATAAAAATATAATGCATCAGCAGAAAGCACATTTGAGGGATATTAATTATGATGTACTTTTTGTAATTTAAATAGAAACCTTTAAAAGCAGTGCCTCAATGCTTAAGGCCATTCTTGAACAGAAGTCAGCTTCTCTGTAACCTATGTTCATGTTACAAAACCAATAGGACTGGTCAGCAACAAAATTCTGCCTGGGGTTAAAAGAGCAATTTCTACATACAGCATTACTTGCCAAACTTGGTAGGGTATAAGACTAGATTCTGATCAGCCTTAACTCATGAACCCAAACTAAGTCTTAATGGATCAGGCCTTTTTCTGCATGTCAGTGCTCAGCATTACAACCAGATCCCTAGAACTTTTTCAGCTACGATCACATACATTTATAAACTAAAGTAGGATGTATGCCTACCCTTCCAGCTGCTTGAGCAATATTTAAAACACTATTAACTGCAAGAAAAAAGATTAAATAGTTCACCTCCATCTCATAAAATGTCAAAATCAGTGACATTTAACCTGAGATTATCTTCTTCATGGCATCACCTAATGTGGAAAAACAATGTGATCAGAATCTGGCTATGCATAGCATCAATGGGGAAAGAACCTGGAGCTCCATGACACCAGTGGACAAGCTCATTCTCCCTCTCGATCGTCTCCCCCAGCTCAGGAGGCCAGTTGCTGTTCTGCTCTTGGTCCATGAGGAAATCAACACTCTGCCACACAAGCTCCTGATCTGCTGGCTGCAAGTACTCGTAGTAGGAAAGTAACATCTGAAGGATTGATGAAAGCCCATGTGCTGCACCTGCAAGGAACAGCAACAGTCAAAAGGAGAGGGTAGGTTTAGGTGCCACCTCCATCCCCCTGGATCTTTCCTTCATGACTGATTTCCTTGTCCAGAGCATGGCTCTTTGGTCTTCTTTATGCATGTTACAATAGTGCTTTAAATGAAAGCATTTCAGGTGCATGACATGATGCTTCTGTCTTTTCCAGTTCTCCGAGCTAAGGAAAAATATGCATGGATTTTGTCTGCTCTCTCTCTGGCATGACTGACATTCTGTGCATGAAGTTAAACTGAACATTAACTGAAAAGTGTTTCAAGATGTCATTTTTCTTGACACAGTGCTGAGTCTGAACCATTGTTCTGAAGTCTCTCTTGAACCTAAATTGAAACTGGGCCAAAAAAGGCATTTCCAGTTACTGACTGAGAGTATCATCCAGCTAAAACCTGAAGTTCAGCACAAGAACTGTCTGTACCTGCCAGAGTCTGTGGAGCAGTATCGCTCTGTGACACCTCTGTCTGCTCCCCTGCCAAAGAACTCACTAACATCTGCAAACCAGTCTCGTTTTCTGCACTATGGCACAGCGCCTTGAGGACCCCACTAGTGATATGCTCAACAACTTTTCATCAGTGCTTCAGAGGTGCTCCAGCTAAGCTGCTCATGATGGTGACCATATGCTTGAGTTGCATGGCAATTACCAGAAATGCTCCCCAAGTCCCTGCCTGGCAGCATCAGCTTACAAAGTACCTCCCCTGACACTTCTCTCCAGAATTCTTCTCCACATATGCATGGGGACCAGCACCTCTCCCTGCCTCCACCTGCCAAGGGCAAACGCACCAGGGCAGAAAGGAGGGAATGAAACTGTTCTGTTGCTGCATAGGCACCTTTTGTACCCTCTAGCTCTAGAAATCAGTCCTTCCCTCTATCTCCTCAGGTCCCATACAGCCAATTTAGGAAGCTTGATACAAGCCATGACACTAGGCTGAAGCTGCATTTGGTGCTGGGGTACAGGAGCTGGGGGTCAGGAGTGTTAGACACCCTCCTGGGCTTGAGGACACTCTTATTGTGCTATCTGTTAAAATATCTGCTGCTACATGTTTTTTCCAACTGGAGCTGATTGTGCCTTGTTAAAACAGTTAATGTACCCGCAGAGAAATAATCTCAGTCACAGCTAGACCCAAACTGGAACCAGACGGAAAAGTATAAAGGTTCAATTATCCTATTTTAGAATAATGAAAATTAAACTTTTTTTTTTCTTTTCTTTTCTTTTTTCACACACAGGAATAAGCATTTCACAGCTAGAAACACTACTTTTAGGAAAGGAAAAGGTCCCAGCTCAGTCAGGAGAAATCCCACACTGTAGATTTTACTTATTTTATTTCTGAATCATCTACTGGCTCAGTATCTACACACTGCATTGCTTTGAAGTATTTGGTGTGTTTTACTCACCGAGATACTCTGTTCCATAGTAGGAATACATGAGTGGGAATGGTTTCCTCTTCTTCACTGCATACTGCTTTCCTGATTCCAATATGGCCAGGCAAATTGATTTTATTTGCGCTGGGGTCAGCACCTAAACAGACACACCAAAAACAAACAAACAAACAAGTCTATTATAATAATTTTGTATTTCAGACATTTTTCAGGACTGTGCTATTTTCCTGGTGCACAAGACAACGTACTGCCTTTAATCTTATGAACATGCTGTAGTGTACATTCCTGTTAAGAGTTCCTTACATAATACAGTAATTGTACATAATATTTCTCAAAAACAGAGTTTGATCCCATCTCAGGAAAGTGAAAGTCAAATCTTAGGTGCACAGAGGTGAAAAGAGGCCCACTAAGAGCCTTTCTTTCCCAGAGATACTTGAACCTAATGAAAGCAGACAGCAAGTATCAGGCAAGCTGCAGAACAACAGCTGTGAGACTGGAGGAAGAGACAAGATGGGAAGAAAAAAGACAGCATACCTAGAGAAGAAGTAAATGTTACAGGCTTTATTGGGACATACTGAGCAAGGCAGATTTTTCTTCAAACAAGATTAAAAAAAAAGAGTAAGCAAGGAAGAGGGTATTAGACTTTATTGAAAATCAACACTACCTATGTGGGTTCAGAAACATCTTACTCAAGAATCACCCCTTGTAACTTTACAGAAATGCTAACAAAAATGAAGTGCGGGAGATTCCTATGAAGGGAGGCTAGCTATGTTTACAGGACTTTGTCATCAAGAACGAGTCAATGCTGCCTTTGTTTTAATGGAGTGCTAGGAACTGTCTAACGCCTCACTTTTAGGTGTGTTGAAAGGAAATAGGATTGACAAATCACATGTTCCACCAGACATGAACTTTGTCAAGTTGCTGACCTGAAATATCCAGTGAGGAATCTGTTTTACAGCTTTTAACTGCAGCTCTAACGATACATATTTCACTGCAATCATTTGCAAGTTCCTCCATGTCAGCCACTTGTGCACATTACTGACCAGTAAGTACCTAGGTTGTTGAAATAATTCAGCTCAGCTCAGCAGCATTTTGGCTTTCGAGGAAAGCCTGTATGTCACCTGTGTTTTGCAAAAATACACTTCAACTTGTGAAAAGAGAACTGGGAAAGAAAGGGAGAACAAGCAAAGTGAGACACATAAAAGAAAAAGGTTGTAGGATAGCCTCAACAAGATAGATAAAAATCCTAAAACTAACTGGAATAACAAGATAATGTATTTAAAATGTTTTTGTACACATTTGTGCTTGTAAATTGTATTATCAGAGGTCTTACAATTACTTAAGTTTAAAAAATACCATTTGCAGTAATTTTGCAGGCAACATTTGTTATAAACTATACACTTTGGCAAGTAAGATATGCTACAGATAGTTAATGTCACTTAGAACTTCACTGAAAAATCTTGTTTGTCCATCTTACTTTACTCCCTGACAACAAGGCTTTTTATTACTGCTACTCCAACAAATTTGTACAACCTAGAGAACAACCCAGTTCTGCTCGTGATTAGTGTTCTTTCATTTAACTGCAGCAGAAGTAAATAAGCTCTTAACATCTGGAGACTTCACTCATTTCCAGTCATTTTAAGATTAATTGTTTCAGCTTCACTGAATTTAATAACAGCTTAAATCCTAAGCAAATGAGAAGATCACAGACGTAGAGAGACACACTGCACTCTCTCCAGGGTTCTGATTTATGGTCTTGTAACTTGGGACCTAATTCTCCAAATCCTATACTTTGTACAGGATCAGTAACATAACCCTTGAAAAATAAAAGTAAAGGTTAAGATCTCCTCTTTGTAATGCTGGAAGGCAAATGCATGCGGATTAGAAAACTCAAGATCAGTTCATTTTCTATGTGCAATGGTTTCTTTACTTAATAAATGAACTGGATTTCAATATAAACCATGTTTTGATCAACTTATTTTCATGTTTGGCACATTTAATTTTTAAATTGAATTAATGACAATTTCAAAATGCTGATTGTATTTTTTAAATGGAATTCAACTTCTACCCAAATCCAGCCTTACATGACACTGTGTAAAGAAGTATCAGCTACTAATATGTGTATCATCACCATCTTCTAATGTAAATTAAGAGTAAGAAGCAGAATGCTTAAGCACTACGTGTACAAACAGTATACCCTTTTGACTGGGTTAATGAAATTATGTCAGCTAACAACTTAAGAATGGAAAAAAAAACAAAAAAAACAAAAAACAAACAAACATGAAAAGCCAGATGAAAACTTAATATTTAAAATCATGACTAGAATGGATGTTAGAAATCAACCCATCCTGAGGCACATCCGCGGTACTGAAGAGAAAATGGAGAAGCAAATAACCTGTATATCTTGAAAGCAACCTTCTTCTCTTTGGCCACTCAGAGTGGCCTGTACGCATGAGGTAGGTGGGAGATGTGTACTAAGAGCTAAATAAGAAGAATTTTGTGCTGACTCCAAATACTTCTAGCCAAGCACCTCAATCTACATGTTCGAATAAGGCTGCTGGTTTTCAAAATACTTAAATATGAGACATTTGTATTTGCTCCTTATTCTAGAAAATGATTCACTGAGATGAGAGACTCTCATCATAATTATTAGTGGCCTTCCAAAGGTTTAATGATCTGATACCACCCTTAAGATCCTCATTGGCATGCTACATTTTATTTCAACCAAAAATTTGTATTAAAAGTATATATTTGTATATATTTGTATCCTCAAGAGATCTTTCATCTTGCCAAGAAATAAAAACTAAGGGCAGTATCTGTATGCTCCATCTCAGCATCTTTAAAAACTAGCAAAAAACATATCACCAAAACAGCAATCAAAGAATACGCTAATCATAACCACAGACAGTTTAACTGTGATGCCATGAAGTTCATTTTCATTTCAGCGTAGTCACAATGCCTACTTGCCCCTGGGAATTACTGAAGCAGTATGTTTAATTAGAGACAGCAAAGAAATAGACTGATCGTCCCAAGGTCTTTAAAGGATAAGTTGCATATTGCTATCACGTCCTCTGGAGAAACCTGTACAGTGCTTTAATGAAGAATAAAGCCAATATGAGAATCTGTTGCCCAGAAAACAAACAAACAAAACCCCATACACATATCAAGCTATCTCAAGCTATATTTTCATAAACTTTGATGTCATTTAATATGAGCTTGCTATGGAGTAGGTAAAATTATTCTTTATTACGTCAGTACTCAGTCAAAAGACTACTGATGTTAAGAGATATATTGCTAATCCTTTAATATTTCAGCGCTTCTTGTATTTTTAAAGACATCACAACCTGTCCTGTCACATCAGAAGTGCTCATTTCCGTTTCCTCACTAGATCATAATTTGAAATATATTTCCATATGTATTCTACATTTCTTCTGCAATTTCCATATCAATGGGTTGGTGGAGTTCTTTATTTTCTGTTTTACATCATTGCACGGCACTGCTGTGTGCTGTTAAAAACCCTGTTCCATTCACACTGGTGACAGCTGCATTCCCACACGCTTTTTACTTTAAGCACAATAGTTAAGCAGTGCTATGAGGCTTAGTATTCACACTATATTGTCAATGCCTTGGAGCCCTACTTACAGCCAGAAATGCTGCTGTGATTGCTTCTAGTCTCTCTGCTTTTCTCCTGTGTCGCTCCAGACAATATGACTTCTTCTATTAAGGCATTCCACAAATATGTGAATTACTTAAGCCAGGTGCTTTATTCAGTAAATCCTTGTTACAAGTCAGCAAGGAAGGGCTATGTCTAGATCAATCACAGAGCATCAAGCTTTTTTGTTGTTAGAGGTCTTTCTCGACTTGAGATTGTTTAGTTGGAAGTAAATAATTTCACAACTCCGTTTAAAGTACTGAGAGAGATATACTAATATATTGATTATGACAGTGCTAGGCCCTACAAATGTGCTTCAAAAACTGCAGACAGAAATCTTCACCTTGGGGAGTAGGCAGAAAGAAGCAGCAGAACTAGCTTCTCCTTGCTGCTGATTATAATAACATTTTCAGCGCCTCATCATTCTTCTGAATGCTTGATACAAACCCCTTGGCTCATGATTTGCCCTTTGAAAAAACTATTGCATACAACTGCACACGGTATTGAATATATTTGATGGCTGTAAACTTTAAATTCTTGTATCTCTATTTATTTCCTTTGAGCTCTTTTTTGTGTGTATGCCATAGAAGGCATTACTGAATACTAAGCATCATTATGTGCGTATAGATGCACCAGTACTTTTAGGAGGTAACTTGTACCCTTACACTATTATGGAAAAAGCCTTACTCAAAGCATCACAGAATGGTTTGGGTTGGAAGGGGCCTTAAAGATCATCTAATTTCCCCTGCCTCCCCTCCAAGTGGGCAGGGAAACCTTCCACTAGATTCTTCTATGCATGTAAAATTTTTTGAGCATGTATGCATCCCATCAGACCTCTGACAAACTTCTAAAAAGCCATGTACGTGAATTTGATCATATGATTCTTCTGATGCTATATAAAGCGTCAAAAATAAGCTGAAAGAATTGGGTCAGCCAAAAAACCTAACAGGAGCTTTGCCACTAGTCTCATATTTTGGAAGCCCAGCAGAGGGAGCTTGTGAATTACTTATGACACTGAAAAATGCTGTCCAAAGATACATCTCTTTTCAGCTGACTCAAGCAGAAAGGTGCTGGAGCCATCCTGGTAGTTCAATGACACCTTACTGCACTGCGCGATGTCTAAGTTCACTTCCTGAGATTGATCTTTTTCTACCAAAGACAGGGCTTGGGATTGCTCAGGGACCTTTCCATGCAGTGTCACAGACATTTTTTTCTTTCAGATGATGTTAACACCTGATGCCATGAAAGAGTAGCGGGCACACAGACACAGAGGGCTGCCTCTCCGTAGTGTTATTCCAGTTTGACTGATGTGGGAAACCCGGCTCCAGCTCTACAGCTGGCTGCATTCCCTATAAACAGTGTCGAATACACTAAACAAAAAACAAAACAAAAAAAATCTCCTGAAAACATTTTTTGATGAATGAGATTAGTTCCTGATGTGCTAATGATCCTGTTGCTAATGCAGCATGTCTCATGCTGTAGTATCA